TTGATTCTATATTGATTTTAGATTAAAAAAAGGCACCTAAACATTTAAAATATACCGTAAATACTGTAATAGTACCCCAGCCCCATAATGACGGTGCGGAGTGTTGGGTAGTCTAGCTTTGAACGAGTTTTCCTCGACACTGGTTTATGCTACAATGCGCGCTTTGGTATCAAAAAATAGCCCTGAATTTCAGCTATTTTTTGATACTAAAGACGCATTTTTCGAAAGTACAAGCGCTTTGAAAAAAATGAAATACTAAAAAACTTTTGCGACTACGCGACTGTACGAGGGGGGTGGGGTATAGTATTTACGGTAGGTATAAAAGGTATAAAAATTATATAGTTAGATGAAGAAATTATCCATACAGTGATGCCTATACGTACGTAAAGAATTTGAAGAATACATTCCGCTAGATAAGATGCGTTTTCAATTTTTGAGCACAAAGTATAATCTAGGAGAAAATTGGAGAGCTCTTTACGCTGGTGGAAACATTTCCCTCCTAGTGCACCTAATTCTCTAGTTTTCTAATTAAATGTAAAGGTATTTAAGGTAAATTTTATGCAGTGGCTCAAGGCTTCAATGCAGTGGCTCAAGGCTTCAATGCAGTGGCTCAAGGCTTCAATGCAGTGGCTCAAGGCTTCAATGCAGTGGCTCAAGGCTTCAATGCAGTGGCTCAAGGCTTCAATGCAGTGGCTCAAGGCTTCAATGCAGTGGCTCAAGGCTTCAATGCAGTGGCTCAAGGCTTCAATGCAGTGGCTCAAGGCTTCAATGCAGTGGCTCAAGGCTTCAATGCAGTGGCTCAAGGCTTCAATGCAGTGGCTCAAGGCTTCAATGCAGTGGCTCAAGGCTTCAATGTAGTAGCTCAAGGCTTCAATGTAGTAGCTCAAGGCTTCAATGCAGTGGCTCAAAGGCTGCAACGACCCACCCAACTAAGTCAGCCATTTCTCCTTGAAATGGCTGACTACTGGCTGAATATGTTTATTAAAATACAATCTATTTTCCTCTAAAATTTAGTGCAAAATAGATTGTATTTTAATAAAGATATTCAGCTAGAGGAATTTTAGAGGAAATGAATTCTCAAGGAGAAATGGCTGACTCAGTTGGGTGGGTCCTTGAAGCCTTTGAGGCACTTGTTGGCTTTTGGTGAAGGAAAGATTGAACGAGGCCGAAAGCCTATCGATGAGAATATTGACACAAACATCACCATAGTACAGATAAACAAAGAGAAAAGAAATCTTTACCCCCAGGAAAACCCATTATTTCTATTGCTTTGGGAAAAGTTTTTTTTTCGATTCTCTTTCTTGTTTCTGCTTTTTTCGATGTTCATTTTTCATTAATTACATTCTTTTTTATGTTATAAAAGTGGGAAAGAAGGGTTTTTTTTCTTGAAAAATTTTAATTGTCTAAAGAAATTTGTAAACTTTTCACAACCTTCGTTAATCTTTACCATAAATTGATTCTAATAAAAGATCTTAAGCTTTTATCAGTTCTATTTTTATAGCCAATGATCAAGCCAATGTTCTTCGCCTGTAATTTCCTTTAGTTTTAGGATTTTATCTACAAATCCTTGACTTTTACCTAGAATTTCGACTCTGCTAACGCTTGCTAGAGCTTCCTATAGCTTCCTATAGCTTCCTATAGCTTCCTATAGCTTGCTAGACCTTGCTAGAGCTTGCTAGAACTTGCTAGAGCTTCCTATAGCTTCCTATAGCTTCCTATAGCTTGCTATAGCTTCCTATAGCTTCCTAGAGCTAGGCTTGCTAGAGCTAGAGCTCAAAACTCTTTAAACCATCAAAATCTAGTTTCTAGAATCTAATTTCTCCATTTTGACTCAATAACGATAAAACTATAAAGCTTTTGATCTTTTTTAGAGAAACGTTCTTTAATTAAAGTAAAAAGCAACATAAAAATCGTGTTCTTTTCTCGAACACTGACATATATTCATAAAATCTATAAAAGAAACGAAGAAGGGGAAACTTTGCGCATGAGTAGGCGGTTCGTTTCCAAAAGAAAATTTGAGGGTTTGATTTCCCTTTAAACCCTTTTCTTTTTCTTTTTCAAATGGTGCCTTTCTTTCTAAATTCCCCATTCATTTTCGGGGAAAATCCGATTGAAATGGTGGGGCTTTCTTTTCTTTTCTCTTCTCTTTCCTCTTCTCTTTTCTTTTCTCTTCTCTCTTCTCTTCTCTTTCCTCTTCTCTTTTCTCTTCTCTTTTCTCTTCTCTTTCCTCTTCTCTTTTCTTTCTTCTTTTCCAAATCGAACTCAAATTTGTGTCCTTTTCAAAGCACCTAGAAATGCAAATTTTTCCAGCTAAAGGAATGAGTTTTTCTTTGATTCAAAAGCACATTTGTTTTAAAGTCAAATTGTTTTTAGGTCAAGTGTTTGCTTTATGAAAAAGATATTGAAAATTTCAATATTGACACTGAATTAATTGTTTTTAATAAAGATTGTTTTTGTTTTTTTAAGGGTTTTTAAGAAAAGAACTGTTTGTATTTTGATCGATTCATTATTTCTAAAAGAATCAATAAAGACAAGTCAATATGTTCTACCCAATCGAATCAATCAAACAAAGATGTTCTACTCAATCGAATCAATCAAACATTTATCCAAATGAGATTTTTGAAAGAAAAGATTCATTGAGAAAAGAGTGAATCTAAAAGAATTCTTTTGTCGACAATTCCATTGAGTATCTTTTCCATTTAACAACAACAAAGCTATTCATATTCTGTATTGTTTTCTGTATTGTTATTTCTTCTTTTTTGCATTGTCTCTTTGAATATCTCATTTCTCATATCATAACCCATTAAATTCTAATTTTTGCAAAAAAAAATTAAAGATTTAGGTTTAAATTTGAATAATTTTATAGTCTTTTTCTTTTTCTTTAAAGTTTTTTTGACTAAAAGAAACTAAAAGAAACTTTTCTCAATCGCAAAAATCTTTTGAATCATTCTGAAAGTCTTTTAGAAAAGAAAAGAAAAGAAAAGAAAAGATTGAAAAGTTTATTGAAAAAGTGCAAAATGGTTCTAGAAAACAGCTTGATCAAAAAGAAGAAATATTCATATTTCTAGATTTACTTTATATATGTTGTGTCCTATTTAGATTTCCATCCGATTTAGATTGAACTTATCGCGGACGTCCGATTTAGATTACAGTCTATATCGGACGTCCGATTTAGATTCAATCTAAATCGGACGGAAATCTAAATCGGACACAACATATATATGCTTTATTCAGGGAATAGAAGCTAATCAAATAATCATAACCGCATATAACATATTGCTACAATACTTTCACAAAAAAAGAATCATTTTACGGAAATTTCTGCAAATCGGACTCTAAAGATCGGAATAAAAATAAATAAAACTGGGCATTGTTTGTCTCTTTTTTTTCTTTTTTCATTCAATTTTGTTCACTGTTTGAATTTCTCTTCAATGGTGAGCACTGCCCTTTTTCCACATCACCTTTTTTTCAATCCATTTTTTAATCAAAAAGCTTTCATAATTTTATTTGTTGTTCAATTTCTTTTATTTCTTTTTTTCTTATTAATTCATTTTATCAAATCAATTATACAATTGGTTGATTTGTCGATAACTTTCCGCCAAAAAAGCTAATCTTTTTTTTAAATCTGTCTTCGCATTTAGGTGTTTCTATTTGCGTAGATCAAAACCTGCATCCACATTTCCCTATCTCTTGCTATTGTCATCCAGTCTTTCCTATCTTGGTTGCTCCTGGTTCGTAGTCTTCGACTTGCTGGTGGTGCTGGCACTCTAGTTATCCTTAGTTTATTTTGATTTTGGTCTGTCTTCGCACTTAGGTGTTCCTATTTGCATTCCTATCACAAATTGCTTCCACATTTCTCTATCCCTTGCTATTGTCATCCAGTGTTTCCTATCTTGGTTGTTCCTGGTCCGGAGTCTTTGACTTGCTTGTGCTGGTGGTGGTTGCACTCTAGCCATCCTTAGTTAATTTTTGATTTTGGTCTGTTTTCGCACTTAGGTGTTCCTATTTGCGTAAATCACAACCTGCTTCCATATTTCTCTCTCTCTCTTACTATTGTCATCCAGTGTTTCCTATCTTGGTTGTTTCTGGCTCGAAGTCTTTGACTTGCTTGTGCTGGTGGTGGTTGCACTCTAGCCATCCTTCATCCTTTCTCTGCCCGTCTCTGCCACTCTTGTGCTCCACCTCGTAAAAGCTAATCTATTAAGCTAATCTAATCGTAATAGCTAATCTATTAAGTTGATTTTAAAAGATTTATAAATATTTTTATAGAAAAAGAGAAAAATTGAGAGTTTACTATGCAAATAGGAGAAAGAAAAGAAATAGATAAATCCTCGATTTATCTTTATCTTTAGCCCACACGACCCGGGTTCGACTCCGGTTTGTGTCGGTAGTTTTAATTTTTTAATAATTTCAAAACATGTTTCAAAACTAGATGGAATTTGAAGCCTAATCGACTAAAAAGCATGGAAATCGGCTCATAGAGAGTCGAGAACTAGACAAACAGAGAGACAGACTGACAGACGGACAAACAAACAGACAAACAGACAAACACAGCTCTTATATAGTAGATGATTACGATAATAGATATAATAAATATCTAGTTGATTATCTATAGCTTCCTTTTCAAATTTTCTTTATCTTAATCATTGTTAAATTTAACTTTAATCCTTTATTTAAACTTTAATCGTTTATGACCAGCTGTCCGCTGTCATAAAGCTGTCCGCTGTCATCTCAGCTGTAATCTAATCCATTTTCTAAAATATCTTCGAAGTATTATTGCTTAGATTATATAATTGTCTTCATTTCAGAAATCCCGTTCCTCTGCTCATCAATCGGTGAATCCGGGAGAAGTTGGCGAGAAACTAGATCGACTTGTTTCCCGCAGCAGTATTGCCAGCAGTCTACCATCACTCAGGTAAAAGAAAACTATATAAAAAACTATAAAATAAGCTAAATCAAAGTCGATTTTCAGCTCTCTGCACTCAACCTCCTCATCGTCGATGCCGTCAGCCCGTGTGGCCGATGGCTCGTCCACCACTTCACTCCCATCACTTAAATCAGCTCCATCGCTTGAGTTCAAGAATTTCAAGAGTAAGTGCAAATGAATGAAGAGATCAAAACGATATTTTAGTTAAAACAGCTGAAGATAATGCAAGAGATTTGGCTCGTTACCGAATTTTGCTTAAAAGAAGAGCTGATGTCGAGGTGATGTTAGTGGAAAGACTCGCGAGGCTTAAAGAAGTCTGTATACAAGAAGGGGTGAGTTCAGGAAGGTTGAAGTTGATAGCTATCTGTTTTCTATCAATCAATAAAGGCAAAGTTTTTGTGATTGATTGAAGATCTTGAAGATTAAAGCTTTGATATTGATTGAAGTCTATTTAACATGCTTGATGATGGAATCGAGATTAACAACAACAAAAGTAACAAAAGCAATAGCAAAAGCAACAACAACAACAACAACAACAAAAACAACAAAAACAACAAAAGCAACAACAACAACAACAACAACAACAACAAAAGCAACAAAAGCAACAAAAGCAACAAAAACAACAACAACAACAACAACAGCAACAACAACAACAACAAAAACAAAAAAATACCAATCAAGAAGAGACAAATCTCAAGCTCTATTTACAGGATTTGATTGGTGAAATGCCAGACGAGATCAAAATGGCCTTAGCACCCGGTGAAGAGCCGCCAAAACTGAAGAGGCGAATCGGCACATCTTTTCAATTGCCTAAAGAATTGTTGAAAAGTCAAAAGGTTTGTTTTTTAATAGTTAAATCTTAAGCACAAATCTTGATCTTTATCCAATTGAGTTAATTGGTTTCAAAGCAAAAACTGAGTCAAAACTGACTCAAAACTGACTCAAAAGTGACTCAAAAACAGCTTCCAAGCGTTATTCTGTTATTTTAAAAAAAACTCCAGAACTTTTCGTCAAATAAAACAAATAAAAACATCAGAAATAATCCAATTTTTGGTATTTCTCTTTCAATTTTTATTGAATCAAAAAAGAAAAACGAAAGGAAATCAATTGGTAAAGATGGCTTTAAACGACGGTAAATTCTGATCAAAAGTCATCGCATCGTAGCGACAAAAGAGTACCTAAAAAAAAGGGGAATTCTCTACAATTTTCTATAATTCTATCAATTCCTAGCCGAAAAAGCTGAAAAAGCTCACTTTATAGAAGAAATAAGTGTACATGGTGAGCGCTAAACCGGTGATATTCGATAAAATGAGATCCGTTTCACCTAAAAGAAAAGATTTGTTTGATTTAATAATGAGTTTTTATACCAGCGATCACCTCATGAATCATATTCTGCACGTAAATGAGCGCGCAAATCGTCTAGAAGAAAAAGAATTTGAAAAATTAGGTATACGGTATCCAGACGGGCTTAGCTTTAAGTTTCAGAGTTACTGTATCGTATAGTACTCTTATAAGTCCAGCTGGGTACTGTAGTCTGATCGTAGTACTCCTCTAATAGACAAAACTAAACCAGATACTCTAGTCTACCTCTTCTTCTTCTTTAGGATTACAATAGAGCAAGCCCGGTTGGTTACTGTAGCCTATTCGTCTATTGTACTGTATAAGTCTAGATGGGTACTGTAGCCATTGGTTCACTGATGAACTAATAATTCTACAGTAGTCATATCAAGCTTGGTTAGAGATAAGAGCTTGGTTAGAGTTGATACAAGCTTGGCTAGAGCTGGTACAAGCTTGGCTAGAGCTGATAACTATAGTTCTACAAGCTACTACAGTAGTTCTCTAAGAAATCTACAGTATTTGGCTCAAGTATCTGGATAAACCGATAAAGATTAGTTCAAAAATCTAACCTGAACCCCAATCGAGGCCAATGCGTTGAGCGTAATCGGTCCGGCGATAGTGGAAGAGATGAGAAACGAGAGAAGAGTGGCGGGACCGACAGTTGTCAGAGCGAAAGTGACACGATTTGATGAGAGATTCGAGCCAAATAACTGTAAAATGGAGATGAAAGGAGAAAAGAATGCAAAAGAATACAAAAGAATACAAAAGAATCCAGTAAACCCACATAAATCACCAAGTAGATCACTATCGGGAAGAAGTAGATCGGAGGCGCGGATCTCTAAAGAAGATCTTTAAAAAGCATCTTTAATCTTCAAACAGACTTGTGAAATGTAATGTCGAAGTAAATGAGAGACGAGAAGACCTGAGAGAAACGAGTGGACGATCAAGAGAACACGACGATCGATCAGAGACAATTTTCCCTAGAATATAGAGATTGAAGAAAGAACTGTAAAGGTGAACTAATAGGCATTTGGAATGTTGAGCTGGAAAGAGAGTCTTACGGTATTCTTCTACAACTACGAAGCTACAACTACGATCCTTCAACACTCCCATAGCACCTCTACAACCACGAAGCTACAACTACAATCCTTCAACACTCCCATAGCACCTCTACAACCACGAAGCTACAACTACAATCCTTCAACACTCCCATAGCACCTCTACAACCACGAAGCTACAACTACAATCCTTCAACACTCCCATAGCACCTCTACAACCACGAAGCTACAACTACAATCCTTCAACACTCCCATAGCACCTCTACATTACTACCTTACATTACATATTCTACAGTAATAAATACTAAAATAAATAGTAAAAATTGACCAACCAGTGAGCTCTTTTTGTGGATGAGAAAAGCGAAGATTGGCATTAAAATGAAAGCGATTAGAAAGAGGGGAATTGGTGAGAATAGTGATTTCAGAAGGGATTTCATTGGGGAAATGATGGCTAAACGAATGCCCAATGTGTAGAAAATGAGATTCGTCGCACGGTAGTTGTAGGCACTGAAAAGAAAACAATAAATTAAAGCAAATTCTTAAAGATAAATTTAACTAAATCCTTAGGCTTTTCAAGAATAGTTTTAAAGAAATTTGAGAAGCAAAACAAATAGTTCTACAGGCGATCCTTCTACAGACTGTAGTACTTTTACAGCACTTAGACGGAACTACCGTAATTGACTAGTTTTAACTACATTACTAGCCCTCAATAGACAGCCAGTAATGCTCAAACTGTAAACTGTAAACGCATTCTTTCTAGCGCACTCAATCCTTCTCAAGAAAAAGCAAAAGGAAGACTAGAAAGAAAGGGTAAATCTGCAGAACTAGGACTAGGACTAGAACTAGAACTAGGACTAGAACTAGGACTAGGACTAGGACTAGGACTAGAACTAGGACTAGGACTAGGACTAGGAATAGGACTAGGACTAGAACCAGAACTAGAACTAGATCTAGAACTAGAACTAGGAATAGGACTAGGACTAGAACTAGGACTAGATCTAGAACTAGATTTAGATCTAGAACTAGAACTAGAACTAGGACTAGAACTAGAACTGGATCTAAAACTAGAACTAGAACTAGATCTAGATCTAGAACTAGAAAGAACTAGAAAATAGAAAGTGGACTAGAAAGAGTACGTTTGCAGCACAATAAAATATTCAAAATTGCTCACGTGAGTGCATAGGTGAAATCAAAATCTTTTGGCAAAGGTCCTTTTTCTTGTGCTTTGTTGTAGAGTGATTTTGGATACCAAATCGGAAAAGTGGCAATCAACTTGAACACTTCAAAAAGACTCAGAACTCTAAATAGAAAGTTATTCAAGAGATATTCTCAAACTCAAACTTTTCTGTATTCAATCCCAGATTTTGTTTTGCTTTCTCAATGAGATTTTCTTTGCGTCGAGTGGCTAAAATTTCAATTTATAATAATAGAAAATTGAAGATTTGCTAAAATGCATTAGTTTTCAAGACTGTAGTACTGTAGTACTGTAGTACTGTAGGAGTACTGTAGTACTGTAGCTAAAAGCTAAGAGTACTGTAGCTAAGAGCTTAGAAGAATAAGAAGTAAAGCTTTTCTCCAAGGACAAGGCTATTTTTGCAGTAAAGTCACCTAATTACTACGTAACTTTTCCTAATCTATCCTCTGATTTAATATTCTTTCAATTAAAAGTAAAAATCAAACCATTTGTGAGAAGACTGTCGGGCATTTTTGTTTAATCGTTTTCAATAGCGAAATAACCGAATAGAAGGGATTTTGAGTGTAGAAATGAAAAACAAAAAAGAATGAGGCAAAAGGAAAACAGGCTTAAATGTAAATTTATCAAATGCAAATGTTAAAATGCAAATTTACAGGTCGATGCCATCTCCCAACTTGAAGCGGACGTTGAACTGCACAAGAGAATCGTCGCCGCCGCCGATAGATTGGCCAAAGATCACAAAACGAATAAGGTAATGAATTAAAGATGTAATAACTGAGTCGGCGGTAAATCCAGGCTTAAGACCAGCTTCTAGTCTGGCTTAAGTCTGGCAAGTCCAGATCTGTGGCCCGTCCTATTGACAAGCCAGAGGCCAGGCTACGTCCAGAACTTGCTTCTAGTATGTTTGTCTGTTCTGTTTCCAGTCAGACCAGGTTTAGCTCTGACAGCTGATCTGGTTTCCGGGTTCGAATTAAGCTTAGAAGGATCTAAAGCTTGTCTCCAGGTCCCAAGGACAAGGCTAGTTTTGCAGTGAAGCCAGCTCAGTCCTGAAAACCAGAAAATCTTTGTCAAGGAAATTTCTGATCCTGACAGCTTTCACTTACACTTCATTGACTTTAAAAAGTATGAATTCTTTAGAGTGTCCGTAAGAAGCGTCAAAAGGATTTGCAAGCGGCGGCAGCTCGGTTGAAAGGAATGGAGTTGCAGTTGTCACAGATGCGATTCTCCGCTTCAAAGCCCGATATCTCGACTGATGCCAATCATAATGGTAAATAAATTTAAAGAAAAACAAGCTTATTGATCATTTTTGGATTTATTGAAATGATTTTGGATTAGTTTGGATTGTTATTGGGAGGGGGGAGTGTTTTGTAGAATGTAGGTTATGTAGAATATGATGGGGCTGATTTCAGAATGGAAAACTCGAGTCTCAGCATCAACAAATCGAATGATGGCTCAATCTTGTCCGACAACGCCTCGTGGAAGTGTGCCGGATTTAAGAGATGAAAATGGAGAGAAAAGTGAATATGAGGAAGATACTGCGATAAATCATACCGATAGAAGAAGACCGAGCAGGTTTGTGGAAGGATATTTCTGAAGGGATCTTTCTGTAGAAGGATCCTTTCAGATCTTTCTGTTAAAGAATATCTTTCTGTTAAAGAATCTCTTTCTTTTAAGGAATCTCTTTCTATCAAAGAATTACTGTCAATTTCAAATCTCTTTCTGCTCTCAGTGCTCTCTGCTTCTTCATTTCTCAACAATAGAAGGAGAAGCAGAGAGCTTAGTGAACCAGAAAGAGTGTGTCTAAGCTTAAAATGATTACAGTCCTCTTGTAGCTACTCTAGACTACAAGACTACTCTAGACTACTGCAAGTACTACTGTAAGCATTACTGTAAGACCTAAACCGATACCCCTTTCAGTGTCGCTTCGTCATCCCGTGCAGCGCTCTCGTCAAATCGTTTCTCTGAGGCTTCAACCTGTTCCGCTTTTTCGATGCCTTTAAATCAAGGATCTTCTCAATCCTCACTTTCTCAATCGGGTTTTTCTCAACTTGGCCCGAGTCCAACTGGACTTCCACCAAAAGGACAAAGGATTCAAACAATTCCCCGATCAATCACCCACTCAGAACATCTTGATCACAATTGTCGAAAGCAATTGCCATTGTGAGTTGAGAAAAAAGTGAAAAGATTTAGGAAAAGAGAAATCATTGTTTAAAACTTGTTTTCTAAAGAGCAAACAGTTCTTGCTAAATAATGGAAACTTTTTTGTTGTCGAATGACAGATTTTAGGGAACAATTTCTGTTTGCTCTTTAGAAAACAAGTTTTAAACAATGATTTCTCTATCCATTATTTAGCAAGAACTTGTTTTTCTAAAGCATAAAATCCGTAAATCATACTTTACTAGAACAGTTTAATTACTGTTTAATAGCAGTTTAATTGCGAGAACCATTCGAAAAGGCCAATTTAAGTTGGGCTTTTCGAATGAGTTACAGTACTGGACAATGAAATATCAATATTTGAAAAACGATCGTCACTTTCGCGCGTCTGTAACTCCTTTATCTTTGAGTTTAAACTATTAGTGTTATACATTTTCTGAAAGCTCTTTTCAAGGGCTACACAATCGTAATATTAATATTTAGAAATACGGTAAAGACAAGGGAGTTACAGACGTGCGAAAGTGACGATCTTTTTTCAACCATAATATTTCATTGTCCAGTAGTGTAAGTCCCAATCGATCGGCTTTGAAGCGTAGATTTCGAATACCGTATTCTCTCTTAATAGTAGTGCACCCAAAGCTTCGCCTAAATTCCTCGAAATCTCGAGAACCACTTAGCAGAACCTATCAATGTGGGGTCGGTAACTCTACCATAACCCCACGATAACCGTAACCCTACCATAACCCTACCGTAATCCAAGTGAGCAGATTCGAGTTAGTAATCAGATCCGTCAATATTAGTAGCTGATGATGAGATCTAGTGGGGGATTTAAGTGTTGAGCTTCTGGGAAAACTTTGGAAGCTGTAAATAGACATCAACTCGGCTCTGGGGCACTACTGTTAGAGAAAATACGGGATTAAAGTTTTGAAAGGTAATTTGAACATAAATAATATAAATTAAATATTATTTAGAAATAATGAATATATAAGAAATCTTAGTATTGGTTAGAACATTGATCAAAGGCTTCATTTCAGATATGAGAATGTTGGCTATCGATCGTCAGCTGCCTACCAAAGCGCCTATCGACAATCGCACTATCCAACATTGCATGTAAGTCAAAAAACTAATCTAGACTAGATCTAGGAATTTCAATTTTTCGTTTTCAATAGTTATCCAACGGAAAAAAACCCAATTTCTTTGTCATTACTGTAATTGGATTACTGTAACTGTACTATTTGTTAGATACTTTGAGTACGGTAATGAATATTGTACTTTCAGGAACAACAAATCTCTCGCCAGCGTGCCAAATCCGAGCACTCTTTACACAACAATCCTCAAGTTTTAAACGCCGATTGGACCCCGAAAAAAGTACAGCAACGGGTAAATGAAGCTATAATGAACGTTTTTTCGAAATTAACCCTTTTAGATAATCCAAGCGCCAATAATTCAACACAATGGTTCTCCGAATCCATTGCCTCTATCACCTCAATGATTCGAATGCAAACAAGTCACTCTTGTTCAGCTGGCTTCAGTACAGCGAGCTTGGATCGGAAAGCTCTGAGGAATCGGTTAGTTAAAGGGCGCTTTTCAATCGTCCTACCATCGGCATCAGTGGCCTAGTGGTTAAAGGGACGGTTTCCCAGTCGGTCGTCCCGACAGGGACCCTTCAGGGTTCGATCCCGCTCTTGGTTTTTGCTTCAATAGAAGTTCGAGGCTTTCTCCAGTGAAATTCAGCTGTGAAATGAAGACTTAAGAAATGTCTACACCTTAATGTTATCCGAGACCTTAGAGGACATCGACCTGTATTTTTCTAAAAATCATCCGAGGCCTTAGACTTGTAGATCGAAAGTGATGGTTAAAAGTAAGCGTTTTTTTAGACCTGTATCCGGTTCTCCACTTGTCGATGGTCATCAATCTCGTGTCCTTCTCCCAGCGCATACAAACACATCAAGAGATCAATCCCCATCCACTCAACGAATCACCACTTTTCCCGTTGGCACAAAGGGTTTATTCTATGAGACGTGAGTTTGCTGCTTTTGAATAATCATAAGAAATCAATCTAAGTCTGATAATTCGTGTATCTTGGGTACAGGAAATCAATGATTGATTGTAGCTTGATTGATTGATTGTACAATCACTGATTGATTGTAGATTGACTGTAGAACGATTGTAGCTAATGTCGGTAGCTAGAAATGTTTCCAGAAAGCCCTACAACACTTGCTCGTCTCCCCTCAGCGCCACTCGTGTCATTCAACCGCAACGTTTCCCCACCACTCATTCAGCTCCACAATTCCCACCATTTCAACACTCACCTCAGAGTCTTATCAGGTGAAAATAAACAAAAACTCTACATAAAACCATAAACATTTACTGTTAAGTCGATACTTTTAGAATTGATCAGTTAAAAGATATAAAAGCTTTGATAACAGCTTTCAAAAAAGGATGCATAGAAATGAACGCTATAAACTACAAGATTAGACTAGAAACGCTTGTAAAAACGCATAGAATAACCATCTTTACAAAATGTTTTTATCAATCTTTTCAACTTTGAGCTTTCGAATGGAAGAATGGGAATGACCAGAAGTGCAATGATCGTTTGGGATTTCTTTTGAAATAACCATTTGAATCGTTTGAAATGACCAGAAGTGACCGCAGTTACTTCTAGTCATTCCCTCTAAAATCTTGAATTTCTTTTGATTTATTGACTTTTTAATAGTGAAAAAACGATCTAAAAACGATCAAAAAACGATCAAGAACGATTCAAAACGATCAGAACGATGAGTTACTTCTAGTCATTCCCTTGTAAGATCAAATGAATTTATCATTTCTACGCTTAACTCTAACGTTTTTCTTTTCAAGTTTATAGTCTTATTTCATAAGAAAAGAAGACTAGAAATTGTAATAAATGGCTTATTCTTGAAGTAATGATTAATGATTGATTGTAAAAATGATTGATTGTAAAAATGATTGATTGATTTGATTTGATTTTATGTTTTATGTTTTATGTGAAAGCTTTTACGTTGGTTTCATTAGTAATAGGTTTTTTTAAAAGAAAGAATTGCCTTTAAAAGAAAAAAGACGGGGGTGGGACAAATGCTATCTTTTTTTTTGCTGGAAAAGGCCTTAGTAAAGGTTGTAGAGCTTCAAAAATGTTTTCATAGAAGGGAATCGTATGCGTAGATTCCGAATTTCGACAAATCAGACCTCGCTGACACGTCAAATTTGGGCTGAAAGGCCTGGACTGCGGAAAAGCGCTAAGTTGCGTAGTTTTTGCCTTTTAGCCCAAATTTGACGTGTCAGCGAGGTCTGATTTGTCGAAATTCGGAATCTACGCATACGATTCCCTTATATGGAAATATTTTCGAAGCTCTACGGCCTTGCCGAAGGCCTTTTCCAGCAAAAAAAAAGGTGCGCAAATGTTCAGGTGCGCACAAAAAAAGGTCGCATTTGTCCCGCCGCCAAAAAGACAATTCTACTTTTCTGTAGTCTGATTTCTGTAGTTTATAGCTTGTAATTTGTCGTTTAGTGTTTAGTTTAAAAAATCACCAAAAAATCTCATTTTCAGACAAAATCCCGTCACAATGTCGTCAAGCAATTCGCCGATTCCACAACAAAACCCAAAAATGGAAGCTTTATTAGATTATTATAAAGAGCACGAAAGAAAATCCACAAAAACAGCGACAATTGTTTAGGTTGAGTTGCACTTATGAAATCAATTTCACTTTAACTTTACTTTAAATTCACTTTAAAAACATTCTCATGATATCATGGGAAAGTTTTATTCTTGGGAAAGTTTCAATTCTCTCTAAAATCTTCAATTTTTTTTTGATTTATTGACTTTAAACGATCAAAAAATGATTAAAAACGACCAAAAACGATCAAGAACGATCAAAAACGTTTAAAAACGATCAAAAACGATCAAAGAACGATCAAAAACGATTAAAAACGATCAGAAACGATCAAGAACGATTCTAAACGATCAAAAAACAATCAAAAACGATCAATAACGATTCTAAACGATCCAGAACGATTCAAAACGATCAGAACGATCAAAAACAATCAAAACAATATTTATTTTATAAATTCTCAACCTAAAAACTTGTCTATTAATGTATTTTTCTAAAAATTTGCTCAAAAAAACTCGCCAACTCACTTGTTCTAGTGAAAATTCTGTAAGAAATTTTGTATTACCATATTTTCTCTAATAGTAGTGCACCGCGGCGAGCCGAGCGGATGGCTATTTACAGCTTCCAAAGTTTTCCCAGACGCTCAACACTCAAATCCCCCACTAGTTTTTTCATCGTCAGCTACATTTTCCGACCCCACATCGATAGGTTCTGATAAGCGGTTCTCGAGATTTCGAGGAATTTAGGCGCTGCTCAGGGTGCACTACTATTAGAGAAAATATGGTATGTCTAGTTTTTTGTCTGTCTAATTGCTAGAAGTGTTCAATTCACCTCTAGAATAGAATAGAAGAGTTCAAATACCGTACTTTCTCTAATAGTAGTGCACCCAAGCGAGCCGAGTTGATGACTATTTACAGCTGCCAAAGTTTTCCCAGAAGCTCAACACTCAAATCCCCCACAAGATCTCATCGTCAGCTACAATTTTCCGGTCTCACATCGATAGGTTCTGATAAGCGGTTCTCGAGATTTCGAGGAATTTAGGCGAAGCTTTTGGTGCACTACTATTAAAGAAAATACGGTACTTTTTTTATTTTTTCAATTCAATCATTAAATCATCAAATTTCACTTCACCCGGTGTGTGATTTTTCGTTTTTGTTTTTTGTTTTTCCCTCGAAATCTAATGCGTTTTTTTCGCTTTTCCCCTCGAAATCTAAAAATCTAAAAATTTTGTGCAAATCTCGGGTTTTCGCATTATAAAATGTTGAATTATTTGTGAATTTTGAAATTATTGTTTTGCAATTTTCCTTTTTGAACTCATCGAAAATCTCTGTGCAACTCTAGAAAGTTTTATTTTTATTTCATTTTAATTCAATTTTTATTCAATTTTTATTCAATTTTTATTCAATTTTATTCAATTTTATTCAATTTTATTCATTTTAATTCAATTTAAACTAAAAAAAAGTGCATTTGCATTTGTTATTTATGAAAATTTCAGCTTTTTTCGTGCCTTTTCATCAAAAAAGAGAAAGAAACAATAAATTTTATGAATATTTTATATTAAATTCATACTTTATTCAGGACATGAAATAAAGCGTAATCAGTCAGACAATACACAAATCTACACATAAATACATAGAGAAAGATGAGATATTTTACTCGGCGATGTGGAGGCGGGGAGAAAAGAAGATAGATAGAAGATAGGCTTCTTGCTTTAATAACCTCAAGCCATGAATGGGCCAACCCAGTGGAAGAGTGAACTCCGCTAGAGAAGGGATCTCTAGTCAGCTCTAGAGAAGAGACCTCTAGTCTGGGCGCACGGGCTAGGGAAGAGAACCCTAGGGGGGCCGAACCCCACACCCCATTTTATGATTAAAATCCTTTCATTAAAATCATTAAAATTAAAAGCGAGAATTTAAAATGCAATCTAAAAGATAAAACATTTAAATTTTATTTATTTACAGTAGTAAAAAAAGGAAAAGAAAATTTGAATTTTATCCAGAACGAATCGCCTAAGCAGAGAGCAGAATTGGCGGCTTCTCCGACTTTTCACCGCTAAATTTTCAGAGATAATTTAGAAGTTTTAAGAAAACATTGTAAAACGTTAAGTTTAGAATCAAGCTTAAAGTAATCTAATGTAGTGTAATGCTCATAAAAGAAGTTTGGTAGGGTAAGAAGTGAAGGAAGAAAAAGTGAATTTCTGGAGAGGGGATTCAACCGTTGACTTCGGTCTCAAACTGCCGCTTTCCAGGCAATTGCGCTAAGCATGAGATATCCGGTGACCTGACCTGTCAAGAGAAAAAGGGAAAGACAAGGGGGAAGAAGAAAAGGGGAAAGAAATAAGTAATCTATCGACTATCAGATCTAGATTTAACGGACTATTCTAATATTGACGGATCTGATCACTAACTCCAATCTGTTCACTTGAATTACGATAGGGTTGCGGTAGGGTCATGGTAGGGTTACGATAGGGTTACGGTGGGGTTACGGTAGGGTTGCGGTAGGGTCATGGTAGGGTTACGATAGGGTTACGGTGGGGTTACGGTAGGGTTGCGGTGGGGTTACGGTAGGGTTGCGGTAGGGTCATGGTAGGGTTACGGTAGAGTCATGGTAGGGTTGCGGTAGGGTCATGGTAGGGTTACGATAGGGCTACGGTGGGGCTACGGTAGGGTTACGGTAGAGTCATGGTAGGGTTACGATAGGTTTACGGTAGGGTTACGGTACACAACGGCGCGAAAAATTTTTCTGGTCAAAATTCAAGTTTGACATACCATTCAACGTGAAAAATTGCGCTGATTCCGAATCTGAAATTTTTTTAAAAATCGGTTCGACAGTTTTTAAAAAAAATGAGATTTACGTAAAAATCCCATTATGGGTTTTCTAAAAAGCACTCGAAAACACGTATTTCAGGATGGATCAGAAATCCCCGGCGAATTTTTAAAGATATTTTCTTTCTGGTCATTTTAAGACCAAAAACGTCAAAAACCATTGATTTTGAGGTCAGATAAATCGTTTTTAAAATCGCGATGGATAACCTACCGTAACCCGCGCACAATAGCTTAAGGGTCGAATTCTAAAATGCAACCAATTCAAAATTTGCGTTTGAATTTTTTAAACTTTGTTTCTTTTTTTTCATTAACGCTATTTCTCTGCATTTTCGTCGCTTCTCATCCAAAGCAACAAAAGTTAAGTTTTTTTAAGCTGCTACCTGAACAGAGCGCTTTGTTTGCAGAATTTTTTTGTGGCGGATGGGCACAACGGTGGATGGGCAAGTGACGTGGAGCGAGCCAATAAAAGAAGATCTAGCAGATTTGGGTTGGTCTTTCGTTTTTGAGTTAGATCTAAAAACAAATAGACTTTAGCAAGAAGTACAAAATTGAAAGATTCAAATAACCAAATGCAAAATTAAACATCTAAGTAACCAGAATCAAAAAGAATAACGTTCACAGCATACTTTCGAGCAGCGTAAAGTAAAATTTCGTTCTCATTACTTCGTTTAATTCTTCGGCATAACTGCTCATACATTGAATGTAAGCTTTCAAGTCCTTCTTCAGACATTGAGCTCAGGCATCTATTTTGCTTCAAAAAGAGCGGTACGTGCTTCAGCGCAACGTGAACTTTCACAGATTTTCCTCCGATAGCTGCCTTATGAAGGAAAATATGAAAAAGAATAAATCTAAAATAGTAAAATGGACAAAACTCTTGAAAAAAAGCTAGATAAAAGTTTTTAAAAAATTCAAACGCAAATTTTGAATTGGTTGCATTTTAGAATTCGACCCTTAAGCTATTGTGCGCGGGTTACGGTAGGTTATCCATCGCGATTTTAAAAACGATTTATCTGACCTCAAAATCAATGGTTTTCGACGTTTTTGGTCTTAAAATGACCAGAAAGAAAATATCTTTAAAAATTCGCCGGGGATTTCTGATCCATCCTGAAATACGTGTTTTCGAGTGCTTTTTAGAAAACCCATAATGGGATTTTTACGTAAATCTCATTTTTTTAAAAAACTGTCGAACCGATTTTTAAAAAAATTTCAGATTCGGAATCAGCGCAATTTTTCACGTTGAATGGTATGTCAAACTTGAATTTTGACCAGAAAAATTCCTTTTGCCTTATTTCGCGCCGTTGTGCGGTAGAGTCATGGTAGGTATACGGTAACGTTACGGCTTGCGGTAATTTTTAAGTAGTGTACTACTGTCACGTACTACTGTACTACTGTAAGCTTGCCTGTCAATTAACTTTTCTCTGAAAAAAGCCCTTAATCCAGAGTTATTTTATGAAAACGAAGCTTGGCCCAAATTCCCAAAAAAGCCTATACATTAACCTTAATTTCAAGAAACTTTTTAGAAAAGAAGAGACGATATCTGAAATGCCTTTTGAACTAACCTCTTCTTCTCGATCTTCTCGATTTTCTTCTTCAGCTTTCCCTCAAATTTCTCGATTTTGCGATTTTCCTTTATTTGACATTTTTCCAAATGATGAATTGCTTTCGAGATTGCGCGACGGAGATTCTCCGACGAATCAACGCCACCAAATTCTTGAATCACTTTCCCATCCTCAACGATTTGAATGCTTTTCTTTGAGGGTTCCTGGAAGAGTTGAGTTTTGAATTTGGTTTTTCGCAACTTACAATAGTTTTCATTTCATGGATCTTGTTTAATTTGTGCTCGAGTTTGTGCTTTTTCCATGCCAGCTTCGCCTCAATGCGCTCGCGTTTTCCGGCCAAGCAGAGATGTTTACGCTCGAGTTTCGAGAAGTTTTTTGGTGACTCTGAAAAGGATTATAGTTTCAAATATTCTCTACGTTTCTAGAAATTATTTAATCATTTAAAGAAAGCTTGAAGTTTTGTGCAAAGAATGTTCAGGTCTAAAGCAGGACTTCTTGCCAGGTTAGGGCCAGTTTAAGCAGGGACAGGCAAATACCTGACACTTGCTTACCAGCTTGTCAAAGCTTACCAGCTTGTCAAAGCTTACCAGCTTGTCGTGGTTAGTCAAAAACAGCTTTGAAACAACGCTGAGCTTAGTCGATCAACTTTTAAAAGTGTTTTGCGTATATAAGCATGACATTTCCTAGTATTGTATTTCTATAATTTCCTTTACTTACCTTGTTTTCCCTTTTCATTGAGCTCTGGGTAAATGTTTTCCGTTTCAATTATTTGTTGAACTTCTTTTGTTGCTTGTTGATAAGTTGGTGGATCGATGTCAACATTTACCATTGTAAAAAGTGATTCTAAATAAAGGTAAAGTGTTTTGGAATAAAAATTTCAAGTAAAAGTTAGCAGGGAATGGATAAAACGAAGTTAGAATGGATAAAACGAAGTCATAAGTCAAGGAAAAAGATCGATCGAAAAAGAGACGAAGCTGAATCAAGATGAACTGTACAATTGTATTGTAAGAGGTGAGGAAAGTGCTTGAGAGAGAATAGGAAAAAGAAGAAGAAAGAAAATGGAAAGAACTCGTTTTGGAAAGCACAAGAGGGAGGAGTGAAGTGGCAGAAGGAGAAAAGCCAGGGAAACGATTGCGAAACTCTTCCCGCAGGCACGATAAAAGACAGTCAAGGATAAACAATTACGAATACGAAATAAAGTTTAACATTTTGGTTTCAATAAGTACTAGATTTTCCTTATATGGATTTAGTTTGATGAAAGAGAAAATGAAATTATTGGCTTGGTGAATTGAAAATTTGGCCTTTGGGACTTTGAGCTAAAATTTATTCAACATAAAACGATCAATTCATTCCAAATAATTTCCATTATTATTGACGACTTCTGCCCATTTTACAGGCAATTTGCGGATTCCTCTTTCGTAGTAGGATTTTCGTTTTGAATCGAAAAACTTCCAAAGCCAATTTTTGACTGCTTCTTCCGAATCGAAGTATCCTCCCGCAAGCTCACTACTCATGATCCGGAATAAATAGTAATCAAAAGGGACGAGGTCCGGACTTTATGGGGAATGCGACAAAAGCTCCCAAACAAGACTATTTATTTTAGAGCGAGTCAGTTTTGCAACAAAGGTACCTTCCCGTCAAAGGTACCTTTCCGTCAAGTTAGCTTACTGAAAGGTAGCTTTCATTTCAATCGGGAAACGGGAAAAGTGAATAGATCTGTCCTTTCCGCCAAAGGTACAGTACTGGACAATGAAATATGAATATTTGAAAATCGATCGTCACTTTTGCGCGTCTGTAACTCCATTGTCTTTGAGTTTAAACTATTAGTGTTATACATTTTCTGAAAGCTCTTTTCAAGGGCTACACAATGGTAATATTAATATTTAGAAATACGGTAAAGACATGGGAGTTACAGACGCGCGAAAGTGACGATCGTTTTTCAAATATGATATTTCATTGTCCAGTAGTGTACCTTTCCGTCAAAGCAATTTTCTGTAGAATGGAATAATCAAAAGTAACAGTTATCAATATATTAACTAAATAAATGATTTCTTTTCTCTTTTAAATAAATAAATGCTAAATAAATGATTGCCTGTAAATAGATTTAAAACTGTTAAAGTGAATGGAATAATGAAAAGGAATAATAATAATGAATAACAATAATGAATAATAATAATGAATAATAGTAATGAATAATAGTAATGAATAATAATAATGAAAAGCTACAGCGATCAATTTTTAATTAGATTATATTCTTAGCATCTTTCTAGCAAAGCTGGATGTATTTTCAATCTAAAAATCAAGGATTTTCAAAGAAATTTGTAAAATCCTTTCGAAATGCCCGCTTTTCTCAGCAAAAAAAAAACTGGATTTTATAGTGGAAAAGGGTTTCGAAACACCGGCTTTTCCCCAATTTTGCAGAGAAATTTCATAAACTCTCACCGATTTTTATCAAAACCGTGAATCATTCGGTTTTTTTTGGAGCAAATAATTTGTTTTAAAACTGCAAAATTTGAATTTGAGCTGTGAATTTGAGAGCTGTGAATTTGAGAGCTGTGAATTTGAGCTGTGAATTTTAGCTGTGAATTTGAGAGCTGTGAATTTGAGAGCTGTGAATTTGAGCTGTGAATTCGATTCATGTAAACTTTTGGAAAGGTTCACTCGATAAATTGAAACTTTTAAATGACAACTTAAATGACTTTTGACTTATTTTAACTCTAATTCTAAGCAATAACTCTAAAAAAACTCTAATAACTCTAATTAAGCTTTTTAAGCTTTTTGATAAGTAATTTAAGAAGAATAAATGATTGAAATGGTTGCAAAACTAGCAAAACTGGCTTTAGATTCATTTCTCTCGTTTAATGAAAACTTTGTTATAAGAAGAATGTTAAGAAGAATGCTAAGAAGAATGTTAAGGAGTTAAGAAGTATGTTAAGAAGAATAAATGACTGAACTGGTTTTAGATTCAAAACTAAATGGTTTTAGATTCATTTCTCTCGTTTAATGAAAACTTTTCAAAATGTAAGATCTGTAGCTAAAAGGAAAAAAAAAAGACTTTTATTCGATGATCTTTTCTTGATTTACAAAGTTGCTCTTAGATTTTCCCTTTTGAAAATCTTCTTCTCCTCCTCTCGATCTTTGCTCATCTCAAAAGGCCATTGATGTGGGAAATGATGGGGGATATCAAAGTGGAAATCTTTTCTGAAATTTAGAATTTTAGAGCTTGAAATTTGATGATTTTAAGTCAATAACTAGCCTTAATCCAACCAGTTTTCACTTGACTTTTAAGGTTTTTCTTTGAGTCTAAGATTAGTATTATCTCTAGAAAACCTTAGAAAACCTATTGAAGAGAAAAAGATACCTGAAAATGCCTAATCTCTCAGCTTCTTCAGGCATATCTTCAGCCAGTGGTTTCCCTCGACTTTCGGGTACAAATTTCGAGAAGAATAGAAGATCGGCAGTGATGAGAACAATCATTACACCATGAGGAACCCATTGACCGAATGAAGTCTGAAATAGATTGGTTGCCGAAAACGATTTGAGAAGTTCTAACAGTTCTAACAGTTGAGAATCTTTGTCTTTCAAAGCTAACCAATTGGAAGACTTGAGGAGCGGCGATTGAAGCCACTGCTTCACTCAGTTGAGTCATCGCAAAGGCTACATTTCGGATGGGAGTTGGGAAAACCTAAAGGTTTATTACAATTTGATCTCTAGTGAATATGTAAATTAAAATAATGATATAAAAGAAGAGGCTGTCTGTTTGTCAGCTTTTAGCTGTCCTTCTGTCAACTTTTAACTGTCTTTCTGTCAGCTTTTATCTGTTCGTCTGTCAGCTTTTAACTGTCCTTCTGTCAGCTTTTAGCTGTCCGTCTGTCAGCTACTGTCCTTCTGTCAGCTTTTATCTGTCCGTCTGTCAGCTTTTAACTGTCCTTCCGTCAGTCATCTTTAATCCATTGTTACCTCATTACAAACCACTCCGACCACTGCATATAATTGGCAAACCATTGAGGCAGCTGAAAGGAGAATGAAACGAAGGACAGAGGATTCGCTTGAAGAAATGCCTAGGAAACTTTGATGAAGCTGATTTTTGAAATTACCTAAGAATTCGGCAACTATTGCAGCACCAAAAGTAACCAGAGCATAAAGACAGTAGAAATTGTGTTCAGTCTAGAAAGAGGATTTCAGAGATCTTTCCCAAGTGAACAGAATTGTTCCAAAGCTATTCTCCTGGCTCAAGCAAGCTAGCGCTAACCTAAAAACAAAATAGGCCGGCCCTAGTTTTACTGTTTACTCTAACCCATAGGCCAAAGCTATTCTCCTGGCTCAAGCAAGCTAGCCAGTTTTGAACTTCTAGTCTCACTCTGGCCTTTTTTGGCTTGCAGTGTTCTGTTGGAAAATTCTCTGTGCTGCTAGTAGAAAAACTTTATTTATGGCTTATCAAATTAGTATTGCTATTCAGCCGCTTGTTATTCAGTCTGTAAACTAGTTGCAATCAAAAGTGCTTAGACACATTACGGGGGATCGAACCCGGATCGGATAGAAAAGCACGCTCTCCACTGCGCCATTGCAACAAGAATCGCCACCGATCTAGCACGTCGAATACAAGATTCATCTAGAAACTTTTGTGGATTGGATAAAGGCTAAGCAATGGCTGGAGAAAAGCAATGGTTTGGAGAAATGCAACGGATCAACACTGTTTTCCTTTTTGCTAACTTTTCTGCCCAACTTCTCGCATTTATAATCAACAAGAGCTGAGACGAGATTCAGCACCAAGCGAAAGAAACCCATAAAGAAAGCGTTCACATAAATCGATCCATTCATTTCCTCCATATTGAATAAAAGTGAATAGTTGACCATTGAAGCCATTAAACTAGAAATTTCGATTTATTTCTAATATCATTATCATTATCATTATCTTATCATTATCTTATCATTATCAAAATCATTTTTTAAAACATACAAGCTTAAGAAAATGGCAGTCGTGTATCCAGCTAATCGTTTTGTGCAGAAAAGATGCGCGAATGAGTAGGATTGATGAGAGAGGAGCTGAAAAGGAGGAGAAAAGGATAAAGAACTTGTTGAAAGCTTTAAAGATCTTGATTTAATTTAATAAGAATCTAGACTAGACAGGCTTCAAGTCCACTCCTTACAACTTTACAGTAAAGCTACCCACGCCTAGCCCAGGAAATTCTCTTTTAAAACAACCCAGACAACCTCAAGATGTTTCCTCTCGTGCTCAAAAACGGCATTGAGCGCTTTCTCGTCAAGTTGATGACCGTTTATCTAAAGAGTTTTCTGCTAAGCTAAGATAAAGTGGCAAACGCACTTTGTAGATTCTCGCGACGGCTTCGGCGGCTTTTGTGAGCAATCCTCTTCTCAACAAAAAGTGCGGAGTCTCGCACATGAACCTGGGAATAAATTCTAGTGAATTTACAGTATACTATAACATTAGTAAGTCTACCGGAGCCAAGTTTAGCCCTAGCTTCTAGCTCTAGCTTCTAGCTCTAGCTTCTAGCTCCAGCTCTAGCTTCTAGCTCCAGCTCTAGCTTCTAGCTCCAGCTCTAGCTTCTAGCTCCAGCTCTAGCTTCTAGCTCTAGCTTCTAGCTTCTAGCTCTAGCTCTAGCTTCTAGCTCTAGTTAGATAAACTCAAACCATGAACTGGAATTTGTGTTTTATTGATCTATTTGCTATTCGATTAAGTTGGAAAGAAAGTTCTCGGAAAAAGTTTGACTAGAATTTCTTAAAAACGAATCCATTAATTCAAGAAGATTTTGTTCTATTATTTACAAGTGGACTCCAAGAAATTACTCGTAAAAAAATGAGTGCAGGTTTCCCGCAAAATTTTAGAGATTTTTGAAGAAAAGTATTATTTTTCAGCTTAAATTCAGATCACTTTTTGCATCAGAAAAACGATTTCTTATGAGATAAAGCTAGCATAAATGAGGAATACGCTTTATAATCTCTATTTTTGGCTAACAAATTTCTTTACAAAGAAGCTGTATTTTAAAAAAATCATTTTTTCGTGTCATCTCCTTTGCACTGAGTGTTTTTGCTAAAATAGGTGATTTTAAAAACGGTAAAGCATTAGATTTGCCTTAATCAAAAATTTCCCTATTTTAAGTACTTGATTTCAGGTTTTGAATAGGACCAATTGCCTATTCATTAACCCAATAAAAACTTGTCTAAAGTCTCGGTCACTCAAAAGGTGACCAAGTCACTTCAGCTGAAAAAATCTCTCATTTTTTACCTAAAGCCAACTCTAATTGTTTTGTCAAAATCTTTTTGAAATATAGTTTATCAAAAAATCTCGGAAGAATTGGTTGATGGCTTGGTTTTTGAGAAATCTCGGTACAAACTTTTTGCGAGAACTTTCTTTGCAACCTAATACTTATCTTTGTCCCGTCAACAAATTACCCCTCCGTCCAGTCGCGTAGTCTCAAAATTTCTTCAGTAATTCATTTCTTATTTTTTTTTTGCTGGCAAGATATAGCTGAGATTTGGGGCTATCGTTTGGTACCTAAGTGCACACTGTAGCAGAAAACGGTGTTGAGAACGAGGCGCTTAAAGTTAGACTACGTCCTCCGGGCGTCTATTAGAATAATTCAAAATCTTTTTGAAATATAGTTTAACAAAAAAATTTGGGAAGAATTGATAGCTTGGTTTTTGAGAAATCACTGTGCAAATGTTTTCCAAGAACTTTCTTTCCAACTTAATCTAAAAAAAAACGAACCACAAAATGAAAGCTGCGGGAAAGCATAGCACATTGATGATAAGCGAGAACCAACGCCAGTTTCCACAAAGATACGCTGAAAATGAGAAATATTCACTTTAGTTGAGCTTTTGAAATTGAAAACGTTTTAGAATTATCGAGGAATGAGCTTTTAAAGTCGTTTCTGAAACTTAAAATAATTTTACTCCTAGTTTTTGAGTTATGCCTCCTAAAAAGGCCTCTGCGCCGAAAGTGATAGAGAGGTTCACCCTAGAATACTGTGTTGCGCTATTATGTTGCACATCAAGCTGGCTGCTGAAAGGATCGGAAAAGGCTACGGGATCTAATCATCCATCCCTTGTCAGTTTGCTGCCAGTTTGCTTGTCAGAGTTTTTGAATTTAAAAATGCTTTCAAATTACCGATAATAGCTACTAGAGCATAATTTGGAGACCAATTGAGAACGAAAGCTAGCCATAAACGATGTTTTGAGGGAAACGTCTCGCAGAAGAGTACGAAAACGATTCTAGAATAAATTGATGAAAGAAGATCGATTTTTCAAAAAATCCATTCTTTGAATCACTACTAGAACTCACACGACATGTCCAGTGAAAAAAAAGGCGAGTGCTGTTCTGATGACGGTTAGAGTGAGAAGATCAGGGCTGAGACAAGTGGCTAGGCCGAGGATTCCATTCAAAAGAAGACAGATGAACATTGGCTAAAATTAGATAAAAATTCGCCTTAGATGGACTTTGATGGTTTGTTTTTCAAAGGTTGAAAAGTAACACTGAAAAAAAATCTAGACCAGATATTGGCTTACTATTTAGCCTGTCTTGATCCATCTTTCTTTCCATATTTTTCAATATGCTTTAGTTCATTCGAAAGCTCTTGAGATTCTCTACTTTTTGAGCTATAGATTATCTTAATGCGATAGATTTGAAGCAAGTTAGAAGTCTTTGTAGTGTCAATGTCTTTACTTGGCACTCACCCGTTTCCTCCCGAAAACATCCGAGATCTGTCCCCAAATAAGTGACCCGATCAAGTAGCCGATCATCTAGAATACACATGAAAGTTGTTCGACAAAGAGTTCGACAAAATTCGATGCAAAAGCTTTTCAACCTGTGACGATGTGCTGTCTTTGATCTCTTTTGTATCACCACAAAGGATTCCAAACTAAAAGAAAAGAAGAAAAAGAATGATTTTTCATGAAAGAGAATGATTTTTCTTTAAAAAATTCTTCTTCTTCTTCTTAAAACCTCAACATTCGCTGATAAGAATTGATATTCAGTTATTGGATGGCATTCTCCCGCATCATACAATTGGCAAATCTCTTCAGGAGAGAGGCCAGTAGTGTTCCCACCAATGCAGCCAGTCACTTTTGGTACTGCTCCTAAAGCTTATTTATCTATCCGAATGCTTATTTATTCCTACGAAACTGAACAAGATGGGTAGACTATTGAAATCGTTGTTTTAAATTTTGAAAGTGGTTGATTTTTGCTTAGAATCCTTTTGCTTAGAATCGAACTTTTAGTTCGTTGTTGTCAACTCACCCGCAAACACCATAAACATCAAATTGCCACATTGAGAGAGCATCACTAGCTGAATTTTGATTGCTTTATTTATTGCTAATGCATTTTACTTTTTAATCTTTAATCTTTCATCTTTCATCTTTAATCTTTAATCTTTCATTTTTAATCTTTCAACATTTACAATTTATCTACAGAAATTTGAATATTATTGACTAGTACAAGAAAGAAAATCAACTATTTACCTACAGTATATACACTACTGGACAATGAAATATAAGAGAGAATACGGTATTCGAAATCTACGCTTCAAAGCCGATCGATAGGGACCTACACTACTGGACAATGAAATATCATATTTGGAAAAAGATTGTCACTTTCGCGCGTCTGTAACTCCCATGTCTTTACCGTATTTCTAAATATTAATATTTCCATTGTGTAGCCCTTGAAAAGAGCTTTCAGAAAATGTATAACACTAATAGTTTAAACTCAAAGACAAGGGAGTTACAGACGCGCGAAAGTGACGATCGTTTTTCAAATATCATATTTCATTGTCCAGTACTGTACCAATCAACTCAAAGCCCGAGCAATCAACAGTTAAGCTTTTCATTTTCAGGGTATTTCATCGTTCTTCTACTATCCAATATTGAGTCTACCAGAAAGGATATGTTTACGTTTATTGCACAAAGGACGCACAAAGGTCTTGTTTCCAAACCTCAATCATAATAGCAGCCATCAAATCGTATCTTCCCATCAGAATGAAATCATCCAACGTCTTTCCGACTTCCATTTTTCATCAAAATCACCAAAATTTCAACAACAATATATTCGTAAAACCTTTTCTGACCACTTTCCTCGAAATCGAATGACCAAACGTGAATTGTTTTGCAAAAAAAATCTCCGCCGACTCAACGAAAGCCTCAAATTTGCATAGGAAAGCCGATTTTTTTTTGGGGAAATTGTCTGGGAAAATTTGATCGTTCGATGAATTTTCATCTAAAATCTAAATCTAAAAAATTTCATTTTTTTTTGAAAAGGTTCAAAGTTGGAAAACAGAAAAATGCATTTATTTTGTGTAAATGTGAGATGGTGTCGAGGTTTGGATCAGGATTTGGGTTTAGAAATGGCACGGGGGGAGGGGAGATGCCGGGCTTTCTAATGATACTGAATGGGGACTGATTGGACTAAAGAGTGATAGAATCGAGAGGCAACACTCTCGAGCTCGGTAATGCCGGTAATGGTAAGCTCGTTAATGCCAAAAGAGAACCGCTATCTATCAGGAGCGTGTGCCAGACGGCGAGTGATTACGCTGTCGCACAAAGTACATTCATTTGCTCTTTGCTGATGGTATAAAAGAAGATCTTCAACTGTAAATTTCTCCCAGGGGTTTTCGAGGTCGGCGAATCGATTAAAGCTATTCATTTCATTGAGTCAGCCAATTGAAATCCGGATTTAATTGGGCAAAACTTTTAGAAGACCTCTAACTTCTTACTCTATGTTGGATAGAAGATTCGAAGCTTTCAAATCAAATGAAATCACAATCTTGACAAAGCAATTGTTCTTTAAATGAGAATTAAAATCTTGGCAAGACTGTAGTGTAATCTGGAAATGCTCTAGTGCTGATCTCATGCTCAATCATGCCCAAATTTTATCATATATCGAGAAATAGGTATTTTTCGTTTCTTCCGCATTGATTTTCTTCACAGGCGATATTTTGGATGTTTTGAAGAAAGAGAGACCAAATATCGAGAGAAAAGCGAAATAATCCCTCCGATAGCTTTCAATCCAAAGCACCATTAAAGCGATATGTGTGATTATTGCACTGAAAATTTTAAAACTTATCGATTAAACGGGCTACGGTAGGTGGGTTTTTGATGCAAGATCTTAGACTTTCTAAGACTACCGTAATCTGGCCTCAATTTTTATTGGGTTGGTGAATTGAAAACTGCCGGCTAATGTCATATGTGACAGTTTGAGCACTTTCTTCAAAAGAAACCCATTTTGGTGTCAATGGGAAAGTTGTAGAGAATCAAAATTGAAGTTTATAGCCAAATTTTCAGAACGATTCAAAAACTGGTTCTCAAGAAATGCGAAATTTACGAATTTTTACAAAACTTGCATTTTAAGCGAAACTATTAAGTGTATCTTTTTGGAAATTTGGCTATAAGCCTCATTTTTGATTCTCTACAACTTTTCTATTGACACCAAAATGGGTTTCTTTTGAAGAAAGTGCTCAAACTGGGCTGACAGCTGACATCTCCAGTCCTCCATTTTTGAGTCTCACACTTGTCTCACACACAAACCAAAATCCTATACGAAAGAGGAATCCGCAAATTGCCTGTAAAAGTAGGTTACAGTAGGGTGCAAGATCTTTTTATGCAAGATCTTAGACTTTCTAAGGCTACCGTAATCTGACCTAAAGTTTTATTTAATGTACCCCTTTCGACTAGCGTTTTCTAAAACTTGTCCCCTTTCAAAAGCTACTATAATTGCTATATTTTTAGTCAATTTATCTACTTTTTATCTGGTTCTGGTTTCAAGATATCGAAAAAACTTCTTGATTAAACTAGACGCATGATTACGGTAGTTTTTTGAAAATTTGCTATGCTTTAGAAAACACAGAGGAATCTATTGAACTTTATGACTTCATTTATAATAACCAACTCACACAATGATAACTAAATCGAAAAAAACGAGCATCATTTGCGCGATTTCGGTGTTGAAATCGAGGAAAACCATGGGAATCCCGCTGAGAAATACTCCGACTAGACTGCACACCGAGTGCACTTTAAAAATCGTGTGCATTAACTGAAAAAAAAATTTGATGGGATTGTGATAAAAGAGTACCGCAAGTCATCGATCTAAACCCTTTAGATCAGCTCCAAACTTGGCTTTTGGTTGTACTTTTGTGAGCAAAACAATCCGGATCTTTGGCCTGGTTTCTGACCTTGTCTGGCTTTACTCGGGAATCGTTGAAGATAAGATCTTGCCCTGGCTTCCGACCAGCTCTGACTTGGCCGAGCCGGATCTGACCTGGTCCAGCCGACCTCGTACAGATCGAAGAGTGCAACAACGACTTCCTGAGCTTTAGGTGGTGAAATAATTGGACGGACCGGAAGCGGCTTATCCTTGCGCTCGAACACGATCAGGAATGGATATAACAGACCCAAAGGGAATACCTATCTATAGGGGACATGTGCCAGACGGCGAGCGATTACGCGGCCGCACAAAGAACAGCGCGCCAGTCATTTATAGATTTCTCTTTTCTTCTGTAAATGGCTCCCAAATGAGATTTAGTGTTAAAAATTTGTGTCCCGGGGTCATAGAACCTATTGCCGGGGTTTATTCAAGCCCTTTGCCCAAGAAAAGTCCCAAGAGAAGCGAATTGGCTTTGTGTTTTGCATATGATAGCTTTTCACAAAGAAAAGACCCGAGAAAAAGCATCTTTTCCATAGAATTCTCTTTTCCACTCACCTTCAACACTTCAATATTTTCGGTCAACTGAAATCGTCGACTCAAATACGCATCGTTTGCATAGGTTTTCTCGTGAAAATTCTGAAAGTTTTAATGGTTTTTTTGGCGCAATTTAAGCCTCACTTTCACTTCAACAAATGATGTCATTGTTTGTAATTCTCGATGATTCCAGAGATACAATTGATGGAGGCACTAAAGTTTGGGCAAAAAAAAAATTGGCTCAACGCCTTGGAATGTTACCCAAAACGAGAACAAAGCGATGAAAGCGATGATCGGAAAAAAGATGAACAATATCAAAAAGTAGTGATCGTAGAGATCTGAATCGTAGAGATTTCATAGATTTCATAGATTTCATATTTTTTCTTTTTCAAATCCAATTTTTAAGAGAGATTCATGCGAGCTTGAGTTCAGTGCAAGTTTATGCAAATTTTAAGTCTAAAGATCACAATAAGTCTAGGCCAATAGACCAAAAACAGACTAGAGTCAGGCGCAGGCCTTCCTTCTAACTAGTCCAAGCCTTTTCCTGGACCAGGTCAAGCTAAGTCAAGCTAAGCCAAGTTAGGGCTGATTCCAGGTATTCGTAAGCCAGTTAGATCAGAGTCAAGATCATGTTTCTAGCTGGCTTAAGTTTCTGGTAGAAGCAGCTTTTTAAAGCATTATTTTCAAGTCTTTATGCTCGTAACTTAGTAAATCAATCAGGCAAAAAAAAGTGGCTCTTTTGCTATTCATAAACCCACAATAGATGATCGCATAGGTGCAAATGATTGAGACGAGAGTATTCAACAGAATCAACAATGTCGACAGAGGCCAATATTTCGATTTCTCGTAAACGGCGAGTTTTCGAGTGGCGACGAGACGCTCAACGAAAACGGAGAAACAAAAGAAAACCTCGTAGAGAATTGGTTGGATACGAGTGGAGGAAACGATCACCAACAAGATCAATTCGGTATGCGCTGAAATGGGGTTATGGGGGGACAAAAGTAAGGTGTAATTGGTGTAATTTAATGCCAAAATCTAGTCCAACTCAATTTCTTTTGATTTTTCCTGGTTATTATCAATATCTTTGAACAAAAACCCACTTTTCCTTGAAAAGAACCCGAATTGAAATAAAATGATGAAATAACGAGAGACAATGGTAACCATGGCGAGAAATATCATCCCAATGTAAATTACTCGCAAATTCAAATGTAAATGATTCGATCGGATGAGAATTCCCATCAGAATTGGTAGATTGCATAGGGCCAACAATTGGAGGAAACATTCGATAACGATGAATATGTAATAGGGAATACGCAGTGAGGTGCCCTAGAAGTTTCAGAATTTCTTTCAAATTTGGATTCCAGACCTTTATGCCAAGACTAAAACATTCAACCCTACCTCTAGATACGTCGAATTAACAAAAATAGCCACCAATAACGACGTATCATTGATTTTGATAAAGTACATCATTGATCAGATCTTTTCGAGCTTTTGCCAACATACTAAACATTTTGGGCGGTTGTCTGTTGCTTTCACCTGCTGGCCTCAAAAGCTCTTTCCTTAATGCTTTTTGCTCAGAGAAAATGATTTCAGATTTATTTTTTTCGATAACTATTTACGTAAAACAAAGTAAAGGACATGTGAATCTATATAACGATGCGACACAAACTAGAAATCTCTAATCGTTGAGGGTTCGCGTCACTCGTTGAATCTCACCACCGCCAAGGCACACGCGGTCCGCGTAGAAGACACACATCTGAATAAAAAAGATTAGTAAAATGTACGTGAAGCACAACTTTTAGATGAGTCGTAATCTAGCGCTTGACATTAACTTAAGCAATGCAAAGTTAAGATTGTAACACGATACTATGCTCAGACTAGTAAAAAAGATCAATTTCCAAAACTCTATTGACCAGACCATACCAAACTTTAGTTAAATCTACAAAGATTTGTTTATCGTTTTCACAAAACAAATCTGCTACCAAAAATCATTTCTTGTATTTTGTCCCAAAGAAAGGAAAGGTATCGGTTCTGAGAAGTTGAGAAGGCTTCAAAATTCCCACCTGTCCAGGGGCAACGGCTCGAACCGGAATCTGTGTTTTTACCGTGATTACTTCTTTTCCATCTAAAGAAAAAAATTTTTGTCACTGAGTACAATAATTTCATTTCTACTTCATGTAGTTCCGTTTTGAAAATTAATTACCCTTGAGACTTGTCTCCAAACGGCATTTGATTACGGGATGAGTGCGTTGAATTCGAAATCTCACGTCGAGATGGTTTTCTAAAATTTATGAATCAAAGAGATCTTATTGTAAACTAACTAGATTTTGTGATTTCAGAACAAAACCAACTTTTTTCAGATATTTGCTCTTTGTAATATCAATTCAACTCACTCAAAGGATTTATCGATATCCATTCGGGCGTTCGGATCACAAATTCTTGCGCAAAAAGCCTTGGATGGTGTGATCCACTGCACTAAAACACCAAAAAACTTATCTTAAACGATAAACTTACCACAAGTACGGTGTTTGTTTTTGGATCAAGTTCGACGACAAAATACCCCAAGTGATCGCCCTCAACTTCAATGTAAATTTGAAATATTCATGCAGCAACCAACCTGATAAAGTACCCGTTTTCCAATAGTGAAATGATGAATACCCGTATGCTCAGCGACAATTTTCCCAGCAATCGTTTTTATCAGGCCCGGTCTTGGCTCTATGTACTAAATTCAGTTCAGTTTTGAATAAAAAAAGACTAACCTGATCCATAAAAGTTGTGAAATTCTTCCGTTTTCCCACAAAACATATGCCCATGCTCTAGAAAAACCAAAATTTAAACTCAAAATTTGTGCAACCTCTTTCTTGTTCGCTACTTCAATCAGTCCTTCTTGCTTTGCGATTTCATAGACCTAAATTAATAAAAAAATTTAATCTTAAAGAAGTTACTTGTGTTTTAAATAATTTCCCGATCGGAAACAATGCGCGTTTTAGTTGTTCCTGTTTGAGTGTACACAAAAAGAAAGATTGATCTTTTATTGGGTCGATTCCCGCCAACAAGTCGGCTAAAACATTTTTAGATGCAAGTTAACTAGTTGCACGAACCATTCAAATTTGAGGGATTCTTGCCAGCCATCAATTCACTTTCAATCGAGGTAGAAACGTAATGGCCAGTAGCAACGAGATCAGCGTCAAGATTCTAAAAATTCATAGATTAAACGTGCCGAATATTATAACTCCAGAATATATGCACCTTTATACAGTAGTCGTGAAAGTGTTGAAATTTGATGAAGCGATTGCAAGCAATATCCGGTACAACGGTTCGTCCGATCGTGTAGTTATCAATCATTTGTCTATAGTAAGCTTGGTTAATAAAAACTCACAAAACCTCACCTAAACACCTCGTTCCAATATTCTCGTACAAAGTTCACCGTCTTGTAGGGGATATCCAAATGTTGGCAAACTCGTCGAGCCTAAAAAATTATTTTATTTCAATATGTCAAAGAAAATAAGACTGCAACAACAATAACAAACTTACCACAGCTGAATCAAAAGATTGGTCGCATTTTGACGTTCCTTCTTCACGAGGGTCCCAGTTTATCTAAAAAAAGTACTATAGATGAGAGAAAACTTTAAATTTGTTCATTAGCTGTTTGTTTACTTGCTCATTAGTTTTGCAACATTAGCAGACTACAAACAAATTCAATATCCATTTTGTGCCCATATTTCCATAAAACTCACCATGTGCACTGCAACGACTTCATGGCCGGCTTTCTTTAAAAGACTCGCAGAGACGGCTGAATCAACACCGCCGGAAACACCGATAGCAACTCGAAGAGCGCGCATGTCCCATCTACACTAGGTCTACACGTTAAATAATGTTATAAACGTACAAAGTTTTAAATATTATCTCAATCTCTTGCAATTGATCATTACATCATTCGTTAAAACCGAAAAATTATTTATTCGACCCGTAAACCGTAGAAAGCTTAAAGCACCTATAACTTAGTAATGCTACAAACTAAAACTAACAATAAAAAATAAACAAGCTAACTAAATTACAAAAGTATTATTTTGACGAAATTATTTTGAGCCCTTTGATTTTTCAGCCTCGTTTTCCTTGTTCTGTTGTTCTTTCGCTGCTTCAGCCTCGGCGATTTCCATCTAAAAATCAATATTAATTTTGCTTTTGTGAATATGAAGAGATGATTCATGGTTGTTGTTCAACAACGAAAGAAGCATTTCGATTACAAACTTTCTATTTAGAGCATTCGTTTTCGAGAATTTCAAATTTTTTAAAAAACAAACCTCTTTGACTTCTTTCATTCGTTCCTCAAGCCGACTTCTTTGCTCTTCTCGAAGTTGACTTACAGCATCTTCAAACTCTTGACGTTCTTTGGCGTCCATCTAAAATCATCAATAACCAACTGAATCAAAAATCCAAATACCTTCTCGAATTTCTCGTAAGCCGCGGGATCTTTTTCCAGAGATTTACTCATTTTCTCTTTCAAGAAGCCGGAAACTCCACCAGGCGGTGCCACGATTTTATCGGGGTCATGCCAACCCTAAATTTACCAAAAGGTCATTAAAAATAAACAAGCATACCTGTAACCTTTCTTGCAATCTTACGAGGTCCTCCGTCTTGACCACCTAAAATTATATTAGTGAGAAAAGTATAGCCAATAGTCACCCTCTGTTTATCCTGGCGCTCGAATGGTCGGAAATATTTGTACATCAAATCCAATTGATCCATCGAAAATCTGTCCCGCGATTGATGCTCTTCAAGATCTTTCTAAATCAACAACATTATGCAAAGATTGAGAATGATGCTGACTTACCGAGGCTTGTTCCCTTCTTTTTTGCACCCGTTGGAGTCGCACTGTCATCATCTAGCTCTTGTTTCATTCTTAGCAACTAAATCCAGTTTTTAAACGCAATAGTGTTAAAAATACCTCCAACGCCTCGCGAAAAGTCAGCTTCGATTTGGGAATTCTCTCCGGCGCCGGTTCATAAAACCCGAACTCCCAAGCGGGATCGTTGCGGTGGGCCCATTCGGAGTCACGAGTCGGGAGTTCTCTAAATAAGCACCTTTTAAAAAAGTTAAGCCATAATCGTAGAATGAAAAACAGTAAAGCCTACTTGGTCGATGTCCATCTTTCAGGCGGATCCGTTGATTTGATGTGTATCCGGTTGATATTGTCGATGAGCTCCTCGCGTCTTTCCGCTACAGCCTAAAATTACTCCTGTTCGAAAATGTTCTTCTGAATCTATGAAGCAAGATTTTGAATTTGAATTAACTTAATTTTTTAAATGGCTACCACTACGTAAAGTTTTTGCCAAATAACCTTCTGCAATCGTTCATCCTTTTGCGCTTCTTCAAAGTGTTTCTTTTCGCGTTCGTGGCGAGGCGCCTTGACCATCGCTTCTCCCTAAACAAATTCTTTGAAGCCAATTAAAAAAACTAACTTTCTCCATCTTTTCCACTTGTTTAACCGCTTTCTTCTGGAAGATCGTCGATTTCGTTTCTTTTCCGAGCGCGTTCCATAGTCGCTTCATTTATCTAAAAAAACACCGAGTAAAATATGTGTAACAATTACTACAAATCAACTTCATACTTTTAAATCAACTTCCACAATTTCAAAATTGCAACTTTTAGAGATCACATTCCCAGGGTCGTCTCACTTTGTCTCTAATCTCTCTTCAATATCCTTTATCGCCCCCGATATCAACTATCATTCGACGACTAATGACGATTGATCTAACACCGGTCGAGAGAGAAATACCCCCTCTTTCTCGCATTTCTGTTTGAGATTTCACCAAAAAGCGCTCTCGTCTGGAACATTTCTGGTTTCATAGTAAATAGATCAAAGGTTCATTTCATTAGGTTTCTCTTTCTTTGACCATCAAGTTGTCTTCAATATTTCAATTTCAGCTATGACATCGGATGAGGACCTAATGGCGAAAGCGGTGGCCGCTTTGCCCCTTGCCTATTGTCGCTATAGCAAATTCCCTGTCGCGGCCGCTCTACTCTGCAAAGATGGAACGGTTTTTACCGGAGGTATGCCAAAATTAAATAGATCCGCGTTATACGTACATTCAAAATCGATGTACAAAATCGATCGATTCAAAATCAAAAACTTTAGTAAATGTGGAGAACGCATCGTACGGTGGAACGATTTGTGCCGAAAGAAGCGCCTACGTGGCTGCCGTTTCTCAAGGAAAACGAGAATTCTTGGTACCTAGCAGCTCAATTAGTCTTGAGAGACACTTTTTAAGACGATTGCTATCGCCACTGAGTTGGAAGCACCAGCTGCACCTTGTGGAATCTGTAGGCAATTCATGAACGAATTCGGCAACATCAAGGTAAACAAAGTGAAAACCAAACTTTTCAAAGCAAGTTTCAGGTTATCTTGGGGTCTTCAAAAAACTGCAAAACGCTCGTCACAACAATAAAGGTAAACTAAAAATCTAGTGCAGCTAAAGTACACGTATTTAGGAGCTTCTCCCGCACTCATTTGGCCCCACAGATCTGAGCAATCACGCCACCGAGCTAGCTTACAATTAAAGGATATGTCACCACGTTAATAAAACTTTTGGATGGATCCATTCAACAAGTAGCACACCACCATAGGCTTGTCTTTCGTATTGCCGAAATGCATTGAATAGATATTTGAGTTGACGATTTTTCAAATCTTCATGGCATTTTCAGAAACAAGATTGATTATAACAAACATTTATTTGTCTCTATGGATGGAGTAACAACAATCAAATAATTAACCAATGAAAATAAACACGGGGATTGGTCAAGACCGGTATTCTGTAGGTAAAGTTGCGGAAAGGTCTGAAGTCAAATAACCAATTTTCATTTCAATGGCTATGGAGCTGAAAGGGCACTTCAATAACAGTTCAGACTAATAAGATAGAGACATCTTACAACAAACAAAAACAACAAAAATTACAGCAGTTTAAGAAACAATCTTGTTGACCGTGGCTTGTTCGGCTTCGTTGAGTCCAGCAGCTTGGATGCAACTGCTGAAGACAGCGTGATCTTGTGCAAGCGTGCGAAGAATCTAAAAATCAAATAATGATAACAAAAAGTAGAGCAATTACATTTGAAAGCCGAGTTTTGACTGGTGTCACATTTTCATCCTCATCGTCGAAAGCTCCGTTGTGAAAAGCTAGCACAACTATTCGACAAATCAGAGGCAATCCGCTGTTGTTCTCACCCAAGACCTAAAGTAGAAATTGAGATTGAAAAACAGTAAATAACTTACATAAGCGTTATTTGATTCGACCAGATCAGCAAAGAAGCCATAGATGTGAACAGACTCTTCAGGATCATTCCATGTTGGAAGCCACGAGAGGAAGAGTGGAATAGCCTAAACACTTTTGGAAACTTGGTCAATCTTAAACCATACTTGAGCTTGATCAATTTGTCCTCCACAGTGCTTCAAGATCTTTGCGACAGCAGAAATAGCGTTCTCGGTAGCAGTGGTGCCTAAAAATAAAATTACTTCTGTACTTGTTGTCAGTTACAGACCTTCCTCAGTTGCGCGAGCATCAGGTTGAGAAATCATTTCAGCCAGAAGTGGAAGCACTTGCACGCAGACATCGGTGAAAAGTGTGCCCTGAAGAGCCATAACTCCTAAAACAAAAAATAAAGCTAGTACGGCAGTTTTTTCGTTACCAAATCCATACGACGTAGCCTGACGCACTTCAGGGTGCTGATCTTTCAAGCACTCCACCAAACGAGGAGCAAAAGCTTGTTGGATGAGCTGTGCTTCCTAAATAAGTGATTTTATAAACAACGTGTTCACACTAGGATTTTACTTTTGGAGCGAACTCAATCAAATCGTCCACCATGCAAACAGCCCATTGACGATCCGTGAAATCGCGACTTTGATCAATCATAGCAACAATACCAGGAATAATCGATTGGACCATTGGGTAGAAAGTTGGACCGAACGACTAAAATTAACCATTTAATACTTTGATCTAAAAACTAACCTTGAAGCAAGCATGGAAGAGATCTGACACGCGACCGAGCAAGTTAGCATCACTTTCCTGATCTTCATCAGCATTATCGTGTGCGTCTTCTGGATCGGCATCTTCATCCACCTACAAAAAAGACATTATTAGTTTAGACTTGATAGCCGACCTCTTTAGCTTCTCGTTGATTACGGCGTTCCTCGAAATTCGTCAACTGATCCCCTGATGATTTCCGCAATCTTTGCAAGTTCTTCATTTGAAAGAGCGGTTCCAAGCAATGTGACGGCCTCTGCGATGGAATTGATTTGCTCAGCAAGGACATCTAGATCGTGCTCGGAATTCAATGCTTCCTCCAAAGCCGGGTAGTAGGTCTAAACAAGCATTTAGTCATAATGCATTCTCAGAAAAAAAGCTTTACCTGCCAGAGCCGATACATCACTTCAGGTCCTTGTTGCTTGAAGCACTCCAAAAATGCTGGCAACACTTCAGCCGACGACTCCCTGACTCCTAAATTTTATTCGTACCTATTAATTCATGTGTTAACAAACCTTCATGGAACATGAACTTCAGATTCTTGAGAACATGTGGCAGCACTTGCTCGACATAAGGACCAAACATTTCTAAAAATGCATAGAATTAATAGTCCCAAGCTTGCATACCTTTCAACTCTCTAGCATAGCAGACGAGCATTTCGCAAGCGGTGACCTTTTCCTCAATTCCAGCCGTTCTGATCCCGAACGAGCGATTGTCACCAACAGACGTGAACGACCATGCAGGATCATCTTCATTGGCTTCCGAGTCTACAATATATGCTCTTCAAACATTTGATAACAGTGGCATACCGTCAACAACAGTCACTTCGGGAGCATACTCGACGGACCGAATAATTGGTGGCATCACAAGCGGAAGATACGGAGCAAACAATGGTCCAAGAACCTAAAACCTTTCGGTAAACCAAAATAAAGACATAGCTTACCTTGCAAATCCGGGTCCATGAGCTGATCATGTAAGTGGTTTGTGGATCATCAGGTGGAAGATTTGGCCTAAAGGAATTTAATTAAGGATAACAATGTACATAAACCAACATCGTATCAGCAAGCATGTTCATAATTTCCTGCCCGTCATTCGCAAACTTCTCCCGTCCAACAGCAAGCCCAATAAGTGAGACACATTCGATCGTCTTTCCTCGAAGCAGCTAAACCGAATTAATAATGAAGTCAAAATATTAATGAGATACCTTGTAGTCGTCACCACCAGAGTTTTGCAAGATGAACTTCAGAGGCACAATCATTCGATCGTAATAGTGAATGAATTCAGCCTCGGCCGCATCCGCAACTTAAATAACATAACTTACAAAAGGTAAGTTTCGATTAGAAAACCTGACGCAATAGTTGTTATCACTTGCTCGAGAACCAACTTCTTGTTTTTCTCAACCAGATGTTTGTAAGTCGCTTCCAAAACTTGCTCGAGAGAGCTCATCATCTGAAATAATGACTCGTTTTATTAAAGTTAAATAATACTCACATCCGGTAAATAATTAGAGATGATGTTCTTGGGGCACTCCTCGCTGAAGTTGACCAAAGCTGCACCAGCATGGGCGGCCACACGCATCACCGATAAGTCCAATAGAGTGTGAACAAGAGCAGGTACAACCTAAAACAAAGGTACAAATTTTACATGAAAACTTTTTAAAACCTTCTCGTGGCATTTCTTCTGAAGAGTAGGTTCAAAATCGGTCGACATTTGTCCTAAAAATAAAGTTATCCACTTTGTTGGAAGAAATAGTCCCTACCCAAGGCGTTGCAGGCTGCGTAACGAACACGTGGATGCTAAAACCAAAATTTGTATAACTTTCTGCCTAATAACAAACCTCATCAAGAAGGTATGGAATAACTTTCTCAACAATTTCCACAATCTTTGCCTCCATCACCGATTTGCAACCCTCGCCAATTGTCGATAGTGTGAAAATGGCCGCATGCCGCTTCTTCCAATCACCTAAACAGGAAATCAAGATCTTCTTGAAGAGCAAGTCATACCATTGTTGAGAAGTTGTGAAACAATTGCCAACGCCGGCTGAAAAGTGGCCTTGCCGCCCAAAGCACAGCAGATTCGATCCAATGACGTTTCTCCAAGAGCAGCATTATCTTCTTCGACATCCTCGTCAGCATCATCCACGGAAAGCCAATCTAAACAATTAAATTTGAGAAATCTTTATATTACAATTTACCTTCTGTGTCATCTTCCAAGTCCGTCATAGAGAGAATACAAACTTCCACTAAAACAAAGCAGATATTAAAAATTTAAAAAAACTTTGACGTACACATTGTTGGAATGAGCTGAGCGGCTCTTTTCTTGATCATGTTTGGTGCTGCCTCGCAGAAAGACGCGATGATCTCCAGAGACGTATGGCGGTAGGACTCCTCCAATTCGGTGTTCTTCACGGTCTAAAATTTAACAAACATTATAACCAATTGATCAAAACCATACCGTAAGCGCGAACACCAAGATGTCGTTCAGGTATGGCGTCAACGTTTTAGGCACAGTGGTGACCAAGTCGCAAAGTGATTGTAGAGGGACATCATCGTCTTCCGATGTAGTGACAATATGTTGGCAAACCCAAATCAGTAAAGTATAAAAACTTCGTTAACCATTCAAACTACCTTCAAAACTTGAGGAATGAAGGTCCCAAGCTGCTTGAGAGCCTTGTCGTCGTCGTCGTTGTGACACATGAAAGCTGACAACGCTTTAACAGCAGCCGAGCGAACATAGACCGCTTCGTGGACCAAACACGCTTGGAAGATGGCTTTGATCCCTGGCAAGTACTTGTCCTGATCAAGTCCAAAGACGTTTGGCACTTCTCTAAAGAATTTTTAATGAAGATCAAAATAGAACAAAACTAACTCGATAATCGACATCGCCACAACTTTCAAATTCGCATTGGCAGACGAGTTGCAGTGCTCGATGAATTGAATGATCTTCCCACACTTCTGGACGCCACTTTCCTCATCTAAACAAGTATTTTATTAAAACATATGGCAAAAAAAACTAACCAATCATGTTCATTGCAAATTGCGAGATGACATCGGCTAACTTCTTTTGCAATTGAAGCGATGGCTCCTCGGTGGCCGCATGCAAGATTCCCTCGATGTATTGACCTTGTTGTTCGGCACTCAGCACCTTCAAAGCGGCCTCGAAGTCGAAATCCCATAGGCGTCGCGTCAAAACAAGAGCCATTGACCGAATCTAAATATTAAAATTTTAAGATGAATGAATCTATATCACTATCGCTGTACGAAGATAAACGAATGTAAATTGAAATGAGCCAGTGCTTTAATAAATTAAAAAAGAAAGTTGACAACTTACATCTTCCGAGGCAGAGCGCTCCAAGTAGAGTTGAAACAAGAGGGTGATCTTCTGTGAAAGGTCGATCTTTTCATATTGGTCCTCGGCTTCTTTTCGCTTCTAAACAAAAAAAGATAAAACTAAAGTGATAGTGATAAACGAACCGTGTTGTCTGTGTCAAGCATTTGCGCAACCAGACGCCCAAATTGTTGAAATTCGGCCATGGCGAACTGAACTTGACAAATTGTACTCTCGATAACCCATAAAAAGAAAAAAACAATAGTGAAAAAGTTAGAAAAGCAATAATGATACTATTGAAACGAAACTATGTCGATCATGTGAAACTACATGCTATAAGTCCAACAGGTTCTTTCCGAAACTTTGTTAAGGCCTAAGCTTGCTCGCTCTCGATACGTTTTAACCAAGAAAATAGTGAACAATTTAGTTTATAAATAGAAAAAGCGCACGATAAAAAATTTCATAACTTTTCGTCTGGTTTCAAAAAATTAACTTCCGTTAATGGTTACAGTAGGCTTCTAAGGCCGTTTGTGTTATAAAACGCGGGAAAACGATTTAAAAGGGCGGGAAAAGGGAAAGGGACACAAAAACGAGAGGAGCGCTTTCCTGTTAGGCAAGGAAAATGGATTGAAATGAGCTAAAGGGGATTTTAAAAAATTTGCAAAAGGTTATGTTCTTAGTTTTGAAGAGAATGCGACCAACTTTGAAAAGTTGAAGTAAATTTTGTATGGAAAACAGGTAAAATTTGGGAAACTGCAAACTAAAGTGTGGCCCTAACGGAAGAAAACTTGCAAATGAAAAATTTTTGCTGGTGAACTTGCTGAGAGATCATTATTGCAGTATTAAATACTCTAAGTAGAAGCCCCCCTACGGGAGCGTCGCGTAGTCTAAGTTTACTCTCAAATAAACGCTCATATCTCAGTACCAGTACGTTTGTTTCTGCGCGCTTGGGTATCAGAGTAAAGTAGAGAGAATGGGTGATTTTTTGAATATATAACGCATATTTTAAGCATTAACCAGCCAACAAAAAGCATTAACAAAAATGGTTGAAAAGTGACAAAAAAGCCGATTTTTCTTCATTTTTCAATCAATTTGTTCTGAGCGGCTGGTTAATGCTAAAATATGTGTTATATCTCAAAAAATCATCCATCCTCTCTACTTTAATTTGATATCTAAGCGCGTAGAGAGATGAGCGGTTCTTTGACAAGGGAAGTCCTTAAGATCCGCAAAAAATATAAAAAAGCAAAAAGCTTTGCAGCAAAAGGATTCGAACCAGCGGCACAAAAACCAAGGGTCGCGCCTGACACAAGACGTTTATCCACTAGGCCACAGCCGCATTCTCTTCCAACGCCTGAGGGACTTTATAAGGTAAGTGCTAAAACTTCTGTGCCAAATATCTTGCGTTTGGGCAAAAGTTTTATAGATATTCGTGATCAGCATAAGATCTATAAGGCATTCTATAAGATCCATTTGGTCTCAGCTAAATTCCAGATGCGGGCCTGAAGGACTTCCCTTGTGAGTGTAAACTTAAGCTACGCGACGCTCCTATAAGGGGCTCCTCTATTAGAATATTTATGATAGTTCAATTCAGTCGAATTAACAGATTCTCAAAGCAAATTACCTTCAAACTCAGCTTTTAGAGTTGTTTTGTGCGGAAGAGACTTAAGCTACTATAAAGTAGCAGATCATCCCGTCTGTGACTTGTTCTTGACTTGCTTTTTAAAATTTTATCAACAAGTTCACGATTTGCATGGCTTTTAACGATTTGCATGGCTTCTTTTAACGATTTGCATCGCTTTTAACAAGACTTCTAAATCAGAACTGACTTGTGGATAAAAATAAGATAAGCTCGGGTCTCTGGATATCTGATATCCGCATACAAAGTATTCCTATTCACGGCCATTTTCTATCATTTACATAGCAATGGATCACTTTCTTTTACATTAACGGCTTTTTCATAGTTAGTGAGGGATAAGAAAGATATAAAATAGAGGATTGCTACTTTATCTAATAGTTAATTCGAATGTTGATAAACAAAGTTTACAGTCTTCCGGAAAACATGAAACTCTAGATACTGTACAGATTACATTCACCCAATTTTTAAGAACGACTATCAAAAGTGAATCGTCTCGCATATCGACACATCAAATCTTGTGGAATTTTTCGTCAAAAAAATATGATTCGGTTATTATGAATTTTCACTCGGATCAGGTGAGTTTTTACAGAAAGACAAAGAAAGTCAAACAATAAACTTGTCAATATCTGGGTCGTACTGTACTTTCATAAACGCGTGTTACCTCCCATTCCTTAATGTCGGCACATCAAACCATTTTGCTATCTGGAAAACAAAAAAAAATTAGTAAAGTAAAGAAAAAACAACTAAAAAGAGCAGTAAATAACAAGAAAAAAAATCTTAATTTCGTCGAAATATGACTTTCCATTATATACTAAAAAATGCCGAGTACGGTATTTATCCATGCTTTAGCGCGCAAAAAGTTGTCAAATTGCACTTTTGGATATACATTTCGAGTGTCCCCCCCTGTGTCCCCCTTTTGCCCCCCTAAGTGTCCCCCTCAAAGTGTCCCCTTTTTGTCCCCCTAAAGTGCCCCCCCCCCCCTAGTATCCCCCTATTTTTTTTCATATCAATATATGTAGGGAGATGTTAAAAAACCGTAGTAAGTGAGAGAAACAAGCAAACATTAGCAAGCCTCGTGATTATTAGGCTGTCCAGAAAGTCTTTTTGTTCCTTTTCCTTGGAGAGCAAAAAGTTGTGATTTGATATGAAAAAAAAATAGGGGGATACTAGGGGGGGGACACTTTAGGGGGACAAAAAGGGGACACTTTGAGGGGGACACTTTGAGGGGGACACTTAGGGGGGCAAAAGGGGGACACAGGGGGGGGGGGACACTCGAAATGTATACTTTTGGATTTAAACTGTTATAACTTGTCACAGGTATATCCAATTTTTGTACTGTTTCTTTTAAAATGAAGATCCTATTCTGGGCAACTAAATTTATCCCTTGATAACACATAATTTTCTGTTTTTGATGAGATATGGGCACCAGAAGGCAGGGCATTTTGGAGTTTTACACTAAAAACATGCATTTTTTTTCGAAAAATTTGATTTTAAAAAAAATCTGTCAAGCGGATTTCAAAATTTTTAAAAAATTTGAAATCAGCTCACTTTTTCACGTTAAATGGTGCATAGCACATCAAAATCCGATAGAAAACGCATTTTTGCGCCGATGTGCATCGGGAAATCAAAAGCGCAAACGATACGAAACTCTAGGAACTAAATTGTATTTGAAGATCTCCTCAAAGCCGTCCTCTCTCATATCCAAACTCAAATTGTCCGAAGTCATCTCGAGCTAGTGGACCTTCTCGATGCATTGTCCGATCATTTCAGCACACTTTTCTTCGCCAAACATGTTGGTCAACGATTCGTTTTCTAGAACGTGTCAACTTTCGAAAACTTGCGTAATCTTGTCTCTAGTTTTTATCCAAGGGTCAAGGGTAAAACTAAGGACAAGGTTACGATAGTTTTTTGAAAGCTGACACATTTTAGAAAACACACCTGCCTAATTTAGCTGTTTGCTCGTATCGAGCAGATGTGAAATCTGTCCTCAATTCAACGATTTCTCAGCTGAATACACTTCCAAATACTTAAAAGAGTTATATTTATTTTAAACTTGCCTGAATACATGTGATGTACAACCCTGATGTACCAAAGTTTATTGCAAATCCCTTATTTCAGAAATTCGCCGACCACGTATTGGTAACCGATTTCTACCTCGACGACGACGCTCAACAATTCACGACAAAATTGGCAAGAGATTTGAAAATCCCTGAGTCGATATTGTGTTACAAAAGAAGAATCGATGAAGAGAGTAGAGAGACCCGATGATTGGCTGATCATCTTGTGCCCAAGATCATCATCTTGATCTTGTGCCTTCTTTTCTTACTATCATCTTTGAAATGTTTTCTTTGTTGTTTGAAATATGTTTTTGTTTGTTTGTTCTTTGTTTGAAATGTTGTTGGTGTCTTTCGAAAGCAACAATTTTGAAGGGTTCTCCAATTTTTGGGGGAAACTCAATGCCGAGTTTCATGAAGCTCGTCGACGAGAATTGCCTAAATTTTGTACAAAATATTCTGTTTTGTGACGCGCTTCTAAATTTCTTCTAAAAATTATTGATAACTATTTAGAATACAGACACCAATTTTCTTTGTAATCAATAGTTTTTAACCCAAACTGAGTAACCGAGTAAAACTGGGTTACAAAAGGAAAATTAACCAAAACACTTAATGTCTCTTTACTCTAGCACATAAAAGGAAGGCCTTTGGTGCGCCAGGAAGACTGTGTTTACAAATCTTTGAGCACAAAGTACGGAGAGCCGCTGCCGTATAAAACGCGGGAAAACGAGGGATTTGAAAGAGCGGGAAAGGGGAAAAGGCGAACACAAAAACAAGAAATTTCCTGTTAGGCGAGGAAAAGGAGATGGAAAGTGTTGAAGAGAAACAAGTTTTATTAGACAGAGTTGTTCCAAAGGCAATTTATTTTCGATTAAAGGTCCAGGACCAGGGGTGGGCCAAAATCGTGATCTAGTTTACAAGCCTATAGTTAGGGTCTACTCGCTCAATTAAAATTCCACCGATCCTTCTATTTCCGCTAGAAAGCCTTTGGCAAAATTTGGCCAATTGATCCCTTCAAACTATCCGTAATTTTTTGTTTATTCTTATAAAAATACAGATTTCCTTTCTCATTTCCTGTTGTTAACCTAAAGCTTTAGCCATGTTCACCCAGCAAACGCAACTTTTTCGAAGTCAACAGAACAGTCAATGTGAGTTTAAAATTTGAAATTTTAAAATTGAAAGAAATTTAGTTTCGAAAAATGATTCAAATAAACGAATTGGGGTTTTGGTTTTCGTTGATGAGTTGCTGAAAAACGCGAAAAAGGTTTGAAAGGAAGGATTTTGTAAAAATTCACTATGAAATTTCAAGTTCATCTTGGGAAACTTTGACGAGAAATGGAAAAAGGATATGAGTGGTGCGATGGGGAAAATGGCGAATGAACCAAGGAGACTGGTGGGTGAAGTAAAAAAAAAAAATGGGTATGCGCACCTAAGAAAAACGACATTTGCGCGAAATGAATTTTAGCGTCAACAATCGCACCATTTTTCGTGTATAGAAAGCTTTTGCCTCAAATTGTAGCGCTTTATCTTAGCTGCACGATGAGTATAACAAATCTGCAAAAATATTAAGTCTACGTGGAGAAATTTATCAGAACACTCCGAGAAAGTTTTCCGTTGCAATACAAATGACGTTTCGAAAAGTCTGATGAATTGTCGAAAAAGGATTTTTTTGACAGATTTTCGGGACGTTATTTGTATTTCAACGGATTTTTCGACAAATTTTCAACAAGTCGACGATTTTCGAAACGTCATTTGTATTGCAACGGAAGACTTTCTCGGAGTACTTGTGTTCGGAGGTAAATTTCTACACCTAGACTTGATTTTTTTTGCAGATCTGTTATACTCATCGTGCAGCTAAGATAAAACGCCACAATTTGAGACTCTATGCACGAGAAATGGTGCAATTGTTGACGCTAAAATTCATTTCGCGCAAATCTCGTTTTTCTTAGCGCAAAAATTATAGGCACATAAAAACTGTAAAGGCGCCTTTTCTGGCGCACTCAATTCTGCAGTTTTCTCGTAAACCAACTCATTTTTGTAAGAAATAAAAGAAATGAGTACGCGAGAATGGGTGTGTTTCTACTTTGAGCACAAAGTACGATGCACATCGATAAGTACCTATATCTAAAGCGCTTTAGGCCAAAGTTCATCAGCACTTTCGTCTTCCAGAGTCACAAGTCGATCGCGGTCTCAAATTGAGTCAATTCATCGAAGCTTGGAATGTTTGGAGCTAGCCATTACCTAGAAATTTCTTTTATAGATTATCGTCTCAATGCTTGATAAGGAGTTGGGTGAAATTTTGAGAGAGCAACAATTGACAGGTAAAACTGTTTATTTTTTATAAAACGTTATCAATTACAGAATATCTTTAAAAGTGATTAGTTTGATGTTTTCATTTTTTTTTTCAGAATCATTGATCACCATCGAAACATCCGATCTAGCTTTACCCGCTTTCATCTCGATTCTGAATGAGTTCAAGAAAGAGGTTGTCTAAAGGAGATGGACTTAATCCAATTTTGTTTTTAGTTAAAACGAAGCTCCACAAACTCTTTGCTGAAAATTTTTGAATCAATCGATGAACGAATTGTTTCCAAAAGAGCTGTGAATGGACAATGGAAAGAAATCGTTGCAATCATGATTGAAGAGATTTCTGTTAAAGGCCAATTGAAAGTTAACAACCGAAATGTTGCAGGTGGGAAATATAATGGGATTTTTATATGATAGAATTCAGGTAAGATTCTCGTGCGAGAATCGTTAGTTAAATGGTTGTCTTTGAGCATCGAGTCGACACTCTTCGAAAGCGTCCTTTTCATTGCCAGGTTTATATGAAAGCTTTATCCAGTTTTTTGTATGAAAGCTTTGTCTCAAGCCAGTGTTAGATTAGTTCTAGTGTTAGATTAAGGTAAACCGGATCAAACCGCTAAACTAAGCTGAACCAGGCAAGCCTAGGTCTTTAAATAAGAACTTTTAGCAAACTCGACTTACACGAACTTTATTTGGAGTGCTTTTCTCAAATCGCAAAAGATCTCGCAAAATGTACATCAGAAGAGAATGAGAATGTATGTTTTATCTCAAATACTTGACTAAAGCACTTTAAAAGGAATCTATCCAATAAGACAGCGTTTCAAAGTGTAGATCAAAGCCAAATCATTAATCAAAGCCAAATCTTTTGGTAAAATTTCTTAGGATATAGAAAGTGCATTAGTTTAAAAGCTTAAATTAATCTATTGTAATGATTATTACTTTATTATTGTCAAATTTTGCATTTAGATCGAAGAAACCCAAGAGAAAGTGGTCGTTGCCTCATGGAAAACATTGATTTTGATGCGCTTTATACCAGATATAAATAAGAGGTAAAGGAAAAGTTGTACAGTTTAACGAAATGAAGCTGAAATCCTCATTCTAGACACTTTCCAATGCTTTTATCAATCGTGCAAGCTTGGCCGATCAGTGAGACACCAAATAGGCGATTGTTGCCAATTTTGAAATGTTTACACTCAACTTTCGATCAAGCTGAAATCGGGAAAACGTTTTTGAAGTTATTTAAGGTAAATGAACTTTAAAACTTTAAAACTAGATTCAGTTATAGATAGAATTATAGTATAGCCAAAAAATTTAGCAAGATTGTTCGAAAATGTTGCACAGTGAGTTCGGCTTCGGCGCGATGATTCAACTGTGCGCCATTGAGAGGTTGTGATTAAAGATATCAAAGAAAGCTGGTAAATATCTAGATATAGATGTTTACTAACTTTTTTTTGATAGATATCTAGATATTTACTAGCTTGTTAGATATTAAATTAACCTCAATTCCTGTCGTTGATCAACACAAACATTTAGGTACAAAAGCGAGGCGATCCAATCACTAAAGCGGGCTCTCTCAAGGGTTTTCAAATTTGATGAAGCTTCTCAAAAAGTACAATCTTTTAACAGTCTTTAAATATAATATATCTTTTACCGTATTCCTATTCAGATTGGTTGGCTAAAGTTCGCGATCGGTGCCTCAATCGCCGATGAGGCGAAACTTCAGGTAACCAAGTGTTTAATGGTTAAGGAAACTTAGAGATATTTGTTGTTGTGCATATTTCACTAGCTTTTAAACGCTATATAGTAACTTTATCTGTTTGCAGATGAAAAACCTCTCTACACGGATGAATGATCGTGAGAATTGGACTCTTCTCTCACCAGGAGCCATTTCTTTGTGCTATTCCCTCTTTGATACAGCTCAAAACCAAAAGGTTAGTCTACATAACTAGCAGATAAATTTTACTATCATAGTATTCATAGTTTGGTAATTCCATAAGCCTTTATATACTAGTTCTCCTTGAAGCAGATGAGTTAGGGCCGGGATCGAACCTGCGACCTCTCGCTTACTAGTGAGCTACACCGACATGCATTCTACTGCCTCCAAAGGGCCAAAGGGTCTTATTGATTGTCCAGAATCACTTATCAACTGTTTCGCATTTTATGAAATCCATTTTATTGCTACAATCCATTTTACTGTAATCTTACCTTTATGCTTTGTCCAATATATTGTTCAATACTTTTTATTTGATTTAGATAGATTGGATAAAAACTAGGGTGTAGGGTAAGGTTAGGGTAGATTGAATAACTAAGGCTTACTGTATTTTTATGACCCTACCGTATATCCTTAGTCTTTATAGGTGCTCGTGTGTGACGGTCGAGCAGCCAGTGTACCTGATCTATGGACCTTGGCTTCGACTCTACTTTCTGGTATGGGATCGTAATGTAAACACACCCTTTCTGGTGCACTCAATCATTCACTTATGAAGATTTAAGTGCATTAGAAAGGATGTATTTTGAGCACAAAGTGCACTTTGAAAAGCGGAGAATTACAGAAGCAATCGGTCGCTCAGGAAACAATCTCTCGACTCTTTTACTTCCACTCGTTTCCACGATCGCCATTCATTCAAATTCAATCAATGTTAGCGCTGCAATTGTGCTTATCGGTAAGCTATAAATAAAATTAATTCTATTTTGTTTGCTTGTTTAGATGTTCTTGTTGAAGTCGTTCACAATTGCACAATCGAGGTTTTAAACAATTACAAGCAAATCGAGGGGATTTTTGATTGGGTGAGTTACCGTAAATACTGTAATAGTACCCCTCTCGTACAGTCTCGTAGTCGCAAAAGTTTTTTAGTATTTCGTTTTTTTTTCAAAGCACCCGTACTTTCAAAAAATGCATCTTTGGTATCAAAAAATAGCAATTTCAGCTATTTTTTTTTTTTGGTACCTAAGCGAGCATTGTAGCATAAACCAGTGTCAAGAAAAACTCGTTCAAAGCTAGACTACGCAACACTCCGCACCGTCATTATGGGGTGATGATGATGAGTGTGCACGTGACTTTTTCGATCACAATCTAAATCCAATAAACGTTTATTGTCTATAGATCTAGATTTACAACTACCCCCGTAAATACTGTAATAGTACCCCACCCCCCTCTCGTACAGTGGCGGAGTCGCACAGGTTTTTAGTATTTCGTTTTTTTTTCAAAGCACCCGTACGTTCAAAAAATGCGTCTTTGGTATCAAAAAATAGCCCTGAATTTCAGCTATTTTTTGATACCTAAGCGCGCATTGTAGCATAAACCAGTGTCGAGAAAAGTCGTTCAAAGCTAGACTACGCAACACTCCGCACCGTCATTATGGCGGTGGGGTACAATTACAGTATTTACGGTAGATGAAGTTCAAGGTAAAATCCCGAAATTCTTAGTGAGGTTAAGAATTGACCTGGTTACAGTAATACGAGATCGTTTAGCTACAGTATCTTAAATATTAGGCTTGTTTGTGTAGTGAGAATAATACAGTATCCTAGAAAGTGTTCCCTTGTTTTTCTCGTTTTTTAAAACGTGTCAGCTCTCGAAAAGTATCGTAAACTTGTGGTAGAAGTATTCCTTTCTAATACTCGTTTTCTAAAAAATGCCAACTTTCGAAGAGTACTGTAACCTTTTCAAAAGACTACGGTAGCTACGAAAGATTACGGTACTTTTCGACTTTCTGAACAGCGAAATACTCGAATCACAGGTTTGTCGAATGCGTCGTGACATCGCTGTCTCACTCATCCGCACCCTTCTACCCATTATCAATCAACGATCCCAACTACGACAATCCCTCTTCGCTGCTCTAAAAGTTTGCCCACAAAAAGTATTTAGCTACCAAAGAATTCCAGCGAGATTTGCTGAATTCAACCTCAGTCACTTCAGCAGTTCCCCTTCTTCTCTCACTTCTTCAATCAATCAGCAATCGACGGAATGTCACTTTGTCACAAGGCGGAATGTCGCAATCATTTGCCACTTTTAGCTCACAGGTTGGTTGGGGAAATTTTGTGATCTTTCACAGTTATCCTTTTCTAGAGTCTGGCAAAGATGGGATTGACTCGTGGGGTCGATGAGGCACTCGGGCTCGAGATTGTCGGTGAGAATTAACAAATTATCTCTTAATCCTTTATGCATTAGTACAGTAGAGTAATTCGAAAATTTAGGTGTTTTGAAACGATGTCTAGCTCAGCCAGCTCAAACAAGAGCCGCACTTTATTCTGGGATCACTGAGGTGAGTAACTGGAGAGGCTATTCTTTTCTTCAAGATCTATAAGAACTACTACTACGGCTACTTTGCGCCAAATTTTTTGTGCAACTGGATCATTTGCACAACTAGGTCTTTTGCGCAACTCGCCATAACTTTCTTCTAAGTGGGCCAATTTTTATGATTTTGGTGTCATTTTGTAGATCTCAACAATTGTAACAAAATGACAACAAAATCATAAAAATTGACCCACTTAGAAGAAAGTTAGAGCGCAAATGAGCCAGTTGCGTAAAAAAATCTGGCGCAAAGTAGCCACCCCGTGAAAGTGTTCAAAAGAAACAAAAACTTATCAAAAAAGGTTTAGTGGTAAAAAATGATGACCAAAAAAAATGAAAATGACGAAATGCATTTACAGTAATCCGAGAAAAAGAGTCGCGATTTAGAAAAAACAGAATGTCAACTTTTAGCAAAAGCTTTCGGGGGTGGGACAAATGCGACCTTTTTTTGCGCACCTTTTTTTTACTGGAAAAGGTCGTAGAGCTTCAAAAATGTTTTCATAGAAGGGAATCGTATGTGTAGATTCCGAATTTCGACAAATCAGACCTCGCTGACACGTCAAATTTGGGCTAAAAGGCAAAAGCTGCGGAAAAGCGTTAAGTTGCGTAGTTTTTGCCTTTTAGCCCAAATTTGACGTGTCAGCGAGGTCGATCGATAATTCGGAATCTACGCATATGATTCCGTTCTATGAAAACATTTTTGAAGCTCTACGACCTTTCCTAAGACCTTTTCCAGCAAAAAAAGGTGCGCAGATGTCCAGGTGCGCAAAAAAAAGGTCGCATTTTGTTGCGCATCGCATCCCACCCCCAGGCTTTCAAAATTCGAGTTGAAGCAAGATCTTTCGGGTTAAAGAGAGAAGATTAAAGGCTTTTTTGATTTTGATCTTCGCAACAATTTATGATTTCTAGGTTGTCCATCGAAATATTCAAATCAGTGGACCATGTCTGGAGTTGTTGCTTTCCCATGCGAACACCCTTCCACAATGGGTTCGTTTAGACAAATTACGTTACAATTCTGTTAACCTAAGTAATTCAGGTAAAAAAAAACAGTTTTACTTAAATTCTATTAATTATATAATTATATGTTTTTAATTTAGTCAACAAAGGAAATGATTCTCACATCAAGGACAATGACAACGGTTCGAGAAGCGTTTCCACAATTGATTCAGGTGCAGTATTTAAAGTTTACAGTTATCTTATCAAATTTCTGTTTTACTATTGATTTCAAATTAGATCATTAGATCAGTTGTCATTAGATCATGAGGTCAATTGTCCATTCAACCTTTGCTGTTTGGAAATTTGTGAGTTAACAGAGTTAACAACAACAGAGAGTCTTCTACGATTAATGTCTTTTGATTCATGTTCTTAAAAGACTTTTTGGACAGTCTAACTGGTGGATAAATCCACGAAATCGATCTAAATTTAGGCTAATTTTCTGCTCATTTGTAAGAGAACCAGCTTTTTACATCTTTGAAAGCTTTGAAGTCAGCTTTTTACATCTTTGAAAGCTTTGAAGCCAGTTTTGGAGTCAGCTTTGAAATTAATAGTAAAACAGAGATTTTAAATCATTTCTTCATTTCTTCATTTCTTCATTTCTTCATTTCAAAACCGATTTTAGGCTATCGAAAGTCTGACTTGTGCCTCGATTTCCTCAATTCAAGCCGGCTTCACCCAATCACACAGTGGCGGTGATTTGTTGGTGCAAAAAGCGGAGAGTCTTCTCTTGAAATGGGTCAATATTGCTATAGAAAGGGATATTCATGAAATGGGTAAACAAATTTTTGGTATACATTTCAAAGTATCCAATCAGAGCTCGATAAATTAACGGAATGGACTCCAACAACGCAAGAAGGACGAGGAAATCTTCTCTTTGCTCATCAAATGCTTGCCGTTTACGATGCGCTGCTTGAGTTTCTCTGGCGACGGATCAATTCGGATATCGAGTAAGAAACGTGGACTGTACTATCTCGTAATCTGAATCTACTTTCGAGTACACTTTTTTTGCTGAATAGCTTTGAGAGTTACGATAGAAATCTTGTAATAGAGGCAGAAATGTTTCAACTGTATTTTAACAGTATTAACTGTAGTAATGTTCTTACAATTAGGCAAGATCTAAGTCTGGAAAGGTAAGTTAAAAATTTAGAGTACTAGTTTTCAAAACAAAATCGAGCCCATTCAATAGAAAATCGAACGCAGAATTCGAATCTGTAAGTAAAATTTGCTGACTAGCTCTAAAACCCGAGATTTATGGCATCAAAGTTTTTGCTATACACTCTTGAGCTGAGTCACGCTATACACTCTTGAGCTGAGTACATCACGATCGTCGTCTTTCAACGGCGTTCGTGATATAGCGGCTAGTTTGCTAGTTTTAGGGAATGGATCGGATTTCTGTAGTGAGTTCAATCCCCCCCACTTGATAAACTTTTTATTTTTCATAAAGATATTTTCAATTTTCACAAATCAAAGCCATGATCAGGGCTGTAAGTTCTGACTTTTATGTACTTTTTATAAGCCAGACTTGCAGTAAAGCCTGGAATTCATTTGATCTATAACGGAAAATGATTTTAGAAAAACACTGATAAATAAATAATGAATAGAATAAATAAGTATTTCTACAGTAAGCTCACGATAGTTTAGAAGTTATCTATTGCTTACTATAGTTTAGAAGTTATCTATTGCTCACGATACTTTAGAAGTTATCTATTACTCACTATAGTTTAGAAGTTATCTATTATCTAAATGTTCTTACAATTAGGCAAGTTCTAAGATCTAAAAGGTAAGCTAAAAATTTAGCTCATCAGAAATGGAGTTGGATCGTTTAATTGGGATCATTCGCCAAAGAAAAGAGCTATTAGAGGTTGTTTGACTTTTCTTTTCTTTCTTTTAAAATCTCACAATTAGGTTTTGAACGAAAAAACGATTCGACAGAAGCAAGAGAAAGCCGTGAATGGAAATGGAGTACAAACGGGAAATGGAGACTCAAAATTGATGCCATTGAACCTTCAAGAGGTTACTTCTAAAAGCTATTAGCTATTATCTAACAACCCAATTTGCATTTACACATCGAATACAATAAAGTAGTAACACAGTATATCAGCTTCTTAACTAATTTGCCTCTCTAGTGCACTTAATTCTAACTTTTCTTACAATAGCCATTTGATACCGTAAGAGAAATGAGGCCAGAAAGAATGCATTTACAATTTTTAAGCACAAAGTAACACCAATAAAGTAAACCAAATGAATTTCAGGTTGATATTTATGTCTCCGGACGTACGATTTCTCAGCTCTTGGATCGACTTCTTAAAATGTTTGTGTGATCTACTATATCTAAAAGAAGAGTTTCTGTCTGTCTGTTCGTCTAAAAGGGCTTTTTCTTAGCCACTTTTTGCGCTAAAAACTGAAATCTTTCAAAAAGTTTTAAGTATAATATAGTTGTGGCATTTAAAATCAAAAGTCAAGCTTGAGCAGGCAGAGGAACCGAACCCTCCTCTTAGTGCCAGGGGTGTGAGCCGTAGACAAGCGTGCTCCCGACTGCGCCACGGCGGTAATCGAAAACTTTAGGAAGAGCGAATCACGCCAATGAGACAATTGCTGGCAAAATTTCCAGAAATTGCCTCTCTTGCCTCAAAAGTCAAGCTTGAGCAGGCACTAAGAGGAGTCGAACCCTCCTCTTAGCACCAGGGGTGTGAGCCGTAGACAAGCGCGCTCCCGACTGCGCCATGGCGACAATGTTCAGAAACTCGAAATATTTTGCGGAAAAGACCCGCCGTTAGGTTAACACATACCGTAAATACTGTAATAGTATCCCACCGCCCTCGTCCAGTCGCGTAGTCGCAAAAGTTTTTTAGTATTTCGTTTTTTTTCAAAGCGCTCGTACTTTCAAAAAATGCGTCTTTGGTATCAAAAAATAGCCCTGAATTTCAGCTATTTTTTGATATCTAAGCCCGCATTGTAGCATAAACCAGTGTCGAGAAAAACTCGTTCAAAGCTAGACTACGCAACACTCCGCACCGTCATTATGGGGGTGGGGTACTATTACAGTATTTACGGTAGTCACTGTGGCGCAATCGGAAGTGCGCTTGTCTACGGCTCAAATCACTCGGGTTCGGCCTGATAATTTCTATAAAAGATTCGATTTAGGGACGAAAGCGATAAACTCTGGGAGATCAAAGGAGAACTTCTCAATTGGACAATCAAGAGCTCATTAAAATGGAGTGAAGAGCTACGGAAAGGAGAGCTTCCATTACATTCAAATGTTCTCCGGCATAGCCATCTCGTCAATGTTGCTAAGTACCGTTTATTAGTTTTAAATTAGTGCCAGAAAGTCAATGAATACCGTAATCCAGTCAGATACCGTAGCCCGACCGAATCTGATACAGTAATCTTAATCTTTAGACATTTTCTCGAGATTTACATCGGTGACGAGGTTGATTCACCGGCTTGGACTCAAGAGATTCCGATGATCTCAAAGACAAAAACTGAAGCTCTTGAAGTTTATTCCAACATTGTACGATATTCTCTTTTGAAGTATCAAAGGAAAATCCTTGAATACGTTGTGCTAATGTGTAAGTTGTTTGTCTGCTTTTCAAATTCATTTATAAGCTTTTCTAATTCATTTATAAGCGTCTCAAATTCAGTTATAAGCTTTTCAAATTCATTTATAAGCTAAAAATCTAAAAATACCGTTGTTCACTCGCCAATTCTTGTTGATTTTTTTAGGGAAAGACGATCGAACTGGTGGTGGTGAAGCTGGGGCGTTGAGTCGGCATGGAGTTTTTCTATTAAATCGACTTTATTTCGGATTGGTATCATTGAAAAAGCTAAAATTTCATTCAATGCTCTAGGTGATCGAAGATGAGAACGCTGAGACACCAAAAAAGCGGGAAATCGAGTCGGAGAAACAGGCGAAAATCATCACAAAGGTTTGGCATCTTTTCCTGAATTTATTTGATATCTACCGTAACCCAATCTAGATACAGTAACCTAACCCAGCTACCGTAGCCCAATCTAGATACCGTAACCTAATCTAGCTATTGTAACTCAATCTAGGTACCGCAAGCTAATCCAGTTACCGTAGCTCAATCTAGATAACGCAAGCTAATCTAGCTACCGTAGCTCAATCTAGATACCGTAACCTAATCCAGCTACCGTAGCCCAATCTAGATACCGTAACCTAATCCAGCTACCGTAACCCAATCCAGCTACCGGAACCCAACCCGGCTACCGTAACTCAATCTAGCTACCGTAACCCAATCCATCTACCGTAACCCAATAAACTCAAGGCCCTAAGGCCTTTGTTAATGAAAGACCTTTTAAATTAAGTCATGATTCATTCAGTTACAATAACCTGGCAAGAATTTAGTGATCAAACAAAATCAACAATACATCAAACAAAATTTCATCGCTAACAAAAACTTTTGCAGTTAGTGAACTCACTTCTCCTGGCTGCCAATCGTTCCTCAACGCGAGCCTCGCACATTTTCGTTAAAACCTATTGGGATA